CAACCCATCAGCTACAGACCCAGGAAGGAAAGAAAACTGGCCGTACCTCGCTGTTCGCATTGTGACGGGAGATTCTGTCTGGGTTTCCACGAGGATCGTGAGTTTGCTTTCAATTCGGCATTGATTTTTTTGGTTGATCCGTTTTGCTTAGCATTGGATGAGGTGGTAACGATTCGCGAAGAATCCTGCCAACTAAATTTATAAACGCTGGGATCTGCAATTTATTTCCTTGTGGTTTCTGTCGTATCCCTCTGACACTCCTCATGTTCACACCTTCAGTGAGAAGGTTCCGCCCCTTCTTTTGGCGTTTTGGGATAATCTTGTGACATGTTTGAGTTCCGTTCAGTTCTCATTTCTCCTGATAGCTTAGCTTCGTTAACGCAGGGAAGAGTTAGAGAGCCGGAACTTCGGGGAAAGTGACTCCTAAAAAGCGGGGATAGAAAAGGCATGAAGACGAGCTACTTGCAATACACCGAAAGACAACGGTGTCCATATATGGCATACCTTATTGGCTGGCCTGCGTTCGCAAATAATCCTGTACCGTCTAAACAGTCCCACGGACAGGATAACATGTGGCCGCTTGCACCCAACTGTGTTATCTTGTATGGAGGCATGACTTTTGGGGTGGTAACGGAAACCTTAGTGGGATCCAGTAGCACCATAGGGACAAGGACTTGAAAATCCTAGCATTTCGTCAAATCCCCAAAAGCCACTAGGTGCTGCTGGGATGCTGCAGCCGTATGACGTAGCCCCCCTCAAAAAGTGCTGTCAGTCGTTGATTACACCATCTCTGTTCAGGTATCCCCTCATATGGTTGTCTATTGGGCTTTCTAGTACCTTCGATAACGGTGACACGAAAACAGTCTACCAGTAGCACTTTGAGTTCTTTCTGTCTCCCCTTTTGGAGATGGGGAACAAAAAACCAACACCCTTGTGGAGGCTGGTGCTTTTATGGGTCCTGAAAGGGTCATCTATCGTTTGGGTGCAAAAGGCGACCTCATAATGCTTCTGCGCAGACAGGGCATGTTTCCCCACCCTGGAAGTTTTCCTAATCCAAATTATGTTAGTCTATCAGGAACAAAACCACAGACTACCTGCAGTCTGGATATCTCTTTAGCATCAGGAAACAGAATGTTGTCAGTACATATGTTTGGTGATGGCTGGATTCTAACAGACAAAAGTCCCTGTCCCGTGCAAGGTATGGGCATTCGCTGGCTGTTCACCAAGACATTCTGAAGGAATTAAGATGAAAGCCTAGATGTTCACGACCCTCACAAAATGATCTTCGCGACAGAAACTGTAGGTTCTGCACCTTCACGTTCACGTCAATGATAGGTAGGGGCTGGCAGGGAAGTCCAGAAGTTGCGTTCCGTCCTATTGCGGACTCGTCAACGGGATGTACCTGCCGGCCACTGGCGGTGTTGTTCCCACTAGGACCTAACTGGAGACCGATCACTCCAGGCGCCAAGGCGCCACCCGGTAGACCACCGAGTCACGACAGCCAATTTGTGCGACGGGCATAGTTTTAATGTTGTTGTTCATATCATATTGTCATTTTTATTATTTGTCCCTTGGGTTCCTAGTGGAACATGGGGCTTTAGTAGCACATTACAATTTCACTCCCTTCTCTGCGGTCTTCTCAGCCTGGCCCCGTGATGGCCCACGAGCTTTCATTTCTTATTCACATGATTTCCTCTGTGTCATAACCCTGGTAAGTTCAACTCGTCGTTTCCCATTTGGGTTCCACATGACGGCCTGTCCTGGCCTGTATCGTGTTGTCCCCAAATGGTCTTCTCAGTGTACGTCCAACCAAGTCAATCCCCACTTTCCTCTGCATATTTGTTGGGCGATAGGTTCCTGGTTGGTTGGTTCGTTGGCGGGCCAGAGTTTCTCTTTGCTTATTCCTTCTGGGCATAAGGTCTTCAGTATCGAGTGCACTTGGACGGCAGCTGTTGACGGATGTCTGAAGTCCGCTGGAAATGCTTTCCGTAACGCCCCGAGTCTCCCAACCATGACATGGAAGCGCTGACTTGACTGAATCGGTGTTGAAAACCCCGAGGTTGTTCTTCATGCTGAGTGAAGTGGAGTGATGCAGACCTCCACGCTGTTTTCACAATAATGCAGGTCTGTCTTTCCTTTCCGATCCTGGTTTTGACATCCTAGTCCGTGCTACCTGTAGTCAAAACGATGCTATCTAGGAAGGTAGGTAGATGTAAGCCACTACTTCCCTCGGGTTTCTCCGTTCGACAGTGGTCTGAGTTTCCCTACGTTCGCCTGAAGCAGACTCTGCCTTCGCTGCCTCGCCTCTTCTACCAACCTGTTAGTTTTCGCCTGTAGATCTTCCAGTTTGTGCGACAAGACACCATACATGAACCATCATCGGTGAAATCCAAGTATCTTAGGGTCTTTCATTCAGTCAAACAGAGTGTGCTCCTCTTCTCGATCCTCACAGTTTCTTGCGTGATATGGTCCAGTCAGGAGGGTGGTCGGCGACGGCAGACAAACTGGTCTCACTCCCGTCTTCACTTGAAAGGCTTAACTGGGCTTTTCATTGTGAATTACATTGCATGAGGCATCATATAGCATACAGCTGCTTTTGGATGAGGTTGGTAAAGGTTTATGGCATTACAACCAAAGTGTTGAGGCAGCCTGTCGAACTACTTTTCGGCGACGCTGTCGAAGGCCTTTTCAAAAGCGATGAGATCTAGGTAAAGATTTGCCATTCTGCCATTGTATTCCGTGTTGTATGATGATGCGTGGCGTAACGTTGCAATCTGATCCGCACATGATTTGTTTATCCTGGTGCAAGCACGCCTGCCACGGTAGTAATTTTGAACCTCCAGTATGATGTGGCCTAATGTTATGCTTGAGGTGGATAGGAATGTGATTCTGTGACAGTTCTTGAAAAGACTTCAGTTGTCCTTCCTTGGAAGTTTGACAAGGTGGCCGTTCTTCCAATCTACAGGTACCTTTCCTTCCAAACCTTCTGCAGTGGCGTTGCGAGCATGTCCCTTAACACCTCCACATCTGCTTTCAGTGCTTCTGACGAAATTCCATCTGGCTCTGATTCCTTCCCGAATCTCAGCCACTTCACGGCGTTCAAAACTTCGACTTTTATCGCACGGATTGTGTTCACCTATAATTCCGCCGTTGCTGGTGGTATTTCTGGAGGAGTTGTAGGTGGTGGTCGATTCAAAAGTTTTTTCAAGGGGTCAGCCCATCGTTTCCTTCGCTCCTTCTTCTCAGTAACTAGGTTTCCTCCACTATCTCTCATTGGTCTCATCTGCGTTGATCTCTCCCCTCCCAGACTAACTCGGTTATTTGATATGGCGTTGTCAGGTCTCTCCTACCAGCAGCCCGTTCTGCCTTACTTGCCCCACTGTATCGTAGAAGTGTCTTTTGTCCTTCTGTGCACTCTCCTTCACTTCTTTGTCCGGTCCAGTGTTTTATAGGTTGTACTCAGTCCCTCTTTTCGTTGTTCATCCCCGCACCGCACTGGTTCATCCTCCGCTCTACCATCTTCCTCTCCCTGCCTTATCTGCTTCCACGTGTCCGTCGAAATCCATTCCTTGTCCTGCTTCTTCTTCCTTCTTGGCACGGTTATACAGGTTTCCTTCCACATCTCTTTCAAAGAGTTCCAGTGTTCTTCCTCGGGGATGTTGCTTAAAGTCACCCATTTTGTTCTTGATGGCTGACGTGAAGATGTCACTTACAGTTTCGTCCTTCAGTTTCTGGGTGTTGAACTTGAACTGTGGCTTATTATAAGATTCTTTGAAGGCTTTCAACTTAATTTTGAAGGTTCTCTGCATTAGATAGTGGTGCAAACCTAAATCATCTCCCTTTCTTGAGATTGAGATGAAGTCGATCTGATTTTTAGTGTGTCCATATGATGGAGTTCGTGTGGCTTTGTGAATATCCTTAAGTTTTTACTCACTGCCTCCAGTCAAAAGGTCATTAAACCAAAATGATAAACTCAGTATAATTTACAAAAATAGATTCACTGATACAGAAATGTGGAAAGCTATGCGCTATAACGCCGAATAGTAATGACAATTTTATGAATAATAACCGGTTAGTTGAATGTTGTCTCTTCGCTACTATCGACCACAATTTAGTATACTACCGAGTTCAGGAGGCATTATTTATTGGCTCTGCATAATCGACTTTGATCGGCTTGACTGTCTTATTACCTGGAAGTAGGATGAGAGTACCTGTAAAATCCAAGGTCAGTCATTGAGTACCAAAGACAACAATAGTCAACGGAGGCAGAAGTCGGAATGGTTTGAAGCACATTGTATTCCCACGTTTAACAGCAGCACCAAAGTCCGTAATATACCACCACAACTAAAAGTGTGTACAGGTAAACAACAATCGGTTTTACAAGCATTAAGAAGAATGTACAGAATGTGTAAAAAGCGATCAAAAGGAAACACTATTTCTAATTTTAGTGGTTTATACGCAGTTTCATTCGCAGTCACTACAAGGCGCAGAAGTCCGCTAACACTTCTGTACTATCGTTCATTTCAACAAGTGCCTATCTTCCTATGTTGTCCGCTCCAAGCTAGGCTTTCGTGTCATCCATTAGAATCATAGTGTCACCGTCTGTGGTGAGGTCTTGTCGATTACCGATTGCAGCTGTCTTAAGAATTTCTCCTTTTTCTCTTGATGTGAGTTATTTGTAAATAAGTAGTTCTAGTATTGAATGATCGTAACTTTCCTTCATTTTGATTTCAATCTTTCTATCGGTTCCCACTGCATGAGAGCCGTTAATGTTCTAGGGAACACTTTGTTCATATAATCCATCAATAATATATCATTCAAACACAAACAATATTGAGGCATCCGCGTAAGAGTCCATGTGCCAATAGAGATAGAGTAACTCGATCCACTCAACACAAACAACATCAACATCTTCAATCTTGTTTGAATACATGAAGACGTTAGCCAATAAAGTGCGGAGTTTTGATTGTGTTCTCTATTCTACGTACTTACTTTAAGAGATGAATGCAGGATGGAATATACCAGGCTGTGTTTCTATGGGTCTTGTTGATCGAAATCAATTTATGAATGTCCCACTAAAGAGTATCAAATTGAAGTGCAAAATAGTGAACATGCTTGTGGATGTGGAAGCAGAATTCTTATATGAGAATTCCTTACAAGAACCTCTGGAGGCAACATTTATGTTCCCATTAAACGATGTGTCAGTGTACCATTTTGAAGCACAGATAGGTGAAAACAAGATAGTATCTGTTTGTCGACCACGTTCAGAGGTAATTACATACGGGAATTGATTGTTTGGTCAGATCCTTATAAACAGTATGCCAATTCAGGCAACCATTATAAATCCCATGCTTCAACAATGAGCTGGTTAAGATCAACCAGTTTTTTTGAGGTGGTCTTCGGTTGTATAAAGGACACATATGGTAGAGATAGTTATCTCTTTTTCGGTAACGAAAAAGATTAATTTAGCAAACTTGCTAGAAGTAGCGGAAATAAATAAAATGTGAAAAAGAGCATTAACGTAAATAAACAGACAAGGTACATGTATTTTTTGTGCTGCTTGACCCTAACTGTAGTGGAGTATACAAACTAAGTACACGTGTCATTTCTATGAGTAAACCCATCACTTCAAACTTTTAAAATAGTGAGTTTCAGTATGTCAAAAGCAATCAAGATAGATGGCCGAAAAAAAACCAGTTACCTTTTGTGTATTACTGGGTCTGAGAATCAAAGCACAAATAAAATTGTAGGTATTTCCAAATTCCATAAATATCCTTTAGGGCGGTGACGAAAATATATGGTTCTATCTTGAATCATCATTATCATGAATCAATAACTTGCATTCGAATACACTTGAAGGTTAAGTGCATAGTTTTCTGAACAGGTAATTTCAGTATATCAGCGACTGTGGTTTAAAATGGTGTTATTAATCACTGTTTAGGTATAGAGTCTTGGATGAGGCAGTCGGGTCAGCTGACTGGGTAGTAGAGTTTTATCGTTTGAGCGGGTTGAGAAATCTGTTGCTCATACGAAGTTGCCACCTGCTTAAACCGCAATGTTAGTTAAAGTATGACCCGGTTGAAACAGTTTAGGGTGGCTATACTGTGGGCGAGAAAATTCATGAAATATTTGGCTGTCAGTATGAGACATATGTGAGAAAGTAGATTTTTGGATGAGAACCAGAAAAGTAGGTCAATGTAGGTGCGGTCAGGCCGAAAGAGTTTATGGTGGCTATAGTACTAATGTTTATTCCTGAATATACATGCACACACCACTTTCACAGGTATGGATAAGTTACATGCATCTTAATGGTAGGTAATCTCAATCCCCACGTATTCTGTCACTAGGGGATATAAGTGCTGCATGTTTATAAAATGAAAAATCTCAGTGGTATATAAGTATCCGAAAGTTTACAAGTTGGACAAGTGGAATTATTTTCCTCACATTAACACGAAAACCAGGTTTGTATCTGGACATTACACTTGTCACCTTGAGTAAAATTTAGCTTGAAGCTAATACTTCCTTTGTAACACCTTGTGTTTTTTTGCGTAGGATAATGATGAAAAGTTTACGGGTGAATATATAAAAGTTGTTTATTTATCGTACTTCATTGATGATTCCAGGACTGTATAATTGTTGTATGTTCACACCATTTCACATGGACGTCCAGAATTCAAAGCCGATAATGATCGTGCGTTGCTGAGATTCTCCAGAAAACGGAAACTGATAGCTTGACTCTAAAAAATGTGGCTCAGAACGCTTGGCTTTTAAAAGGATATATCTATGCTTTATCGTCATCTAGATATGAATGAACTATATAGGTTGGTTCTTGTCATCTTTCCTTTTTCATTTTGACCTTTTACGGATCCTGATGACTTTTTAATTTCTTGGTCTTCCGCCTTGTTGTCTTCGGCACAGGTAATATAGACTGGTAAGTAAAAATGATAGGTTACATGCGTATAGCGCTTGTGTCTGTAATTGGGTAATACATCATCAATATCAGCATAGGACCAGGCATTACTGCGTAACTGTCCGAGTTGCCACAGCTCATATCAGTACATCAAGTAAAAAGGCAGTGAGGCACAAGATAAAGATAAAAAAGTTCAGCCAAAAGAAATATTAAGTACGAAAAGAGAGAAAGGAAGAATGAGAAAATGGTGAGATTCGGTATAGCGTCGTTAAGATGAGGATAATGTATGTATACATCTGTGCCACTGACATCGGTTCCGAGCCATACCACCTAGAGTCTCCGACCATTGGTTCCTCTTGTCTTGCGGACCCCAACCGACTAGTCTGAAAGTGGCATATTTTACATGAGAGAACTGTTTCCATTCTGCGTATTCGTTTCTGTGGTAATAAATTCATTGTTCTCATAAGCTTCTTTTATTTAGTCAACCTACTGTTGCAAAGTAGTTAAGTGGGGATTATTAACTGATAAAATTCGTGATTATGCAAAGCGTATGTTCAGCCTCTGATTATTCAAACCATCGTTAAAGGAATAACGTGGTTTGTACTTCTTTCTTTACGTAGGTTTTCTATCTTAAGCCATTACATCCAACCTTTCAGTATATGTTGCTCTTTGGCATATTTCGCGTGCAAATTGACAAGCAAAATAATTTTGCCTGCATATGTACGAGCGAACGCTTGTTTTATTGTATTTTTTTGGTTTAATACAAACTGTTTTGTTGCTTCAAGGCTAAAGAAACATATGACAGTGCTGTTGAAGAAGGATATACTGCTATTTTGGCCGAACAGGACGAGCATTGTTCTGATTTGTTTCAAATGAACGTCGGTAACATACCACCAAACGGAAAGGTTAGTATAATCCTGCGGTATGTTGGCTTGATGGATGGTAAAAATGTGGAAACAGATACACAGAATTTCACTCATGCTGAGGTTACTTTAACTTTGCCAAGTGTCGTCAACCCACGCTATTACCCACAAGGTAAATCATTACATTGTACTTAACTTTAGTCTAGAAAGAAACATCCCTGATGAATGCGAAGCCTTTTCAGAATATGTCCTTACGAATTCTGCACCATACACAATAACTTTCGAAGCTGAATTGTCGATGTCATGCAAAATTTTAGATGTTAAGTCGGTGCACGACCGTTTCACATTGAATCGTTCAGTTGATTCCACGAATGCTAATGTAAGACTTCTATATTTGCCTTGAATCTCATGTTTCCTCTTTTGTTCATTTTTTGACGGAACGTAAGGATTTCTGTCTGACCATCCAAAGTTTACTCATCTTTGGTCTAAGCACTGAAACCGTTGAAGCGTTGACGACAGCTTTCTGACTACTAGATATGCTTTGATTGAGCTGAAAGAGTAAAGAAGCTCGTTCTGAAAAGAGATGGCGCTTTCTGGCCTGCTTAAAGCAATGACTACTTTTACAAGCTGTAGCGAAGAAGTGTTATTACGGGTATTTTATTATTAGTTGTTCTTCTGGTCTTGTTAAGTTTAGCGCGTTTCCGCTGTCTCTACTCAGTGAAAATCCCAAAGCGAATAACTATTTTTAAAGTAATAAACCTCGTGGCTTGGAGATCTAATAGAGACTATTAAATTATATTCAATGGAATGGATAGGATATGCAATATAAGTATATAATTGAATCTTTGAAAAATGATAAAATCTCTAAAATGTGTGGAAACTTGGGAGTTCATCATTGTTGTGTTGCGTATGTCCGTTGCACAAGAGGTGGCTATCGTGCCCCAGTGGCTTGGTCAATAACACTGGCGTTTGAAGCGAAGGATGCTGGGTTCGAGCCCCAGTGGGAACGACATCACTCACCGGGGTGCAGGTAAATTCAGCTGGCGAGTCCCAAATAGGACAAAACGCGCATCCTGGATTCCTCTGCTAGTCAACAGGATCAATATAACAAATTTGTCACCAGCGTTAGCTTTTCAAGTACACACAATGTTCAGAAACATATGCTCAAATAGAAATTGACGTTTTAGATTTCCCATTCATCTGCCAGCTATGTACTAAAATGTACATCATAAAAGTTCAAAATATTAGGATCCACAGTCTCCCTGGGTTTATATGAAGATAAAGTGTGTGAATAAAGTCCCGGTGTTCTAATGTTGTCCTGATTATTAATACTTATGTATGATTCATTAAGGGTATTTGTCCAAATATCTTAGGCATCAAATGATGGTTTATCTTCATTGAAGTAAAAGAGATAAGACTCGCATGCCTTGATCTTGACTTGATAGAATTGGTCAAGGGGAAACTATACGAAGTAACTTTCATTTTTGCGTATTTAAATAATGTTTATATTCTAACGACTTTTTTAGGTCAAGCTGGAGTCAGAATTCATACCTAACCATGATCTCCAAATGGTCATAAGTCTTGCTGACCCACTTACATCACTTGCATCTTTGGAATATGGTTCTTCAAACCAATCCTCATTACTAGCTACAAACTGTTTGATGATTCAGTTTTTACCTCAGTTTTCTGGGGTCAATATCCCCAAAGGAACCCGAAGTGAAATAGTATTTTTGATTGATCGTTCAGGTTTGTTATTTTTTCTGTATAAATATTTGAATGGAGTTTTATTCTTACATACTAGTGGATTGTTACTAAGGTATTTGCGTCATGCTAAATTATTGTTATTATAATATTATTATTTGTCCCTTGGGTTCCTAATGAAACATAAGGCTTCAGTAGCACGTCTCCATTCCACTCTCTTCTCTGAAATCTTTTGAACCTCGCTCCACGACAGCCCACAAGCTCTCATTTCCTCCCCGCACGATCTCCTCCATGTCACCCTCAACTCAGACGCCCAACTCGTCACTTCCCATCTGGCTTCCACTCAACGGCCTAGCCGGGTGCTTGATGTCCCCAGTCGGCCTACTCAGTGTATACCCAATCCAATCCAATCCATATCCAGTGTATGCCCAACCCATCTCCACTTCCTTCCAGTGTATATTTGTTCAGCGATAGGTTCTTGCTTCGTTGGTTCGTTCCCAGAGTTCCTTGTTGCTTATTCTTCCTGGCCATCTCATCCGATCTCCAGTAACGAGCCATCATAGACAGTTGTTGATGAATGTCTGTAGTTTGTTGGAAATCCCTTTCGTAACGCGTCAAGTCTCTGAGTCATACAGAAGCACTGACTTCACGTTGGTGTTGAAAATCCGGATCTTGTTTCACATGCTGAGCTGAGTGCAGAAGATCTCCACACTGGTTTCAGGCTAATGAACGCCTGTCTTGCTTTTCCGATCCTGGCTGGCGTTATCGTCCTCGTCTGTGCCTCCACCGCCTGTAGTTGAAACAGTGCTGCCTAGGGAGGTGTAGGTGAAGGAGGCTACTTCTTTTAAGTTTCTTCCGTTCATGGTGACTGAAGCCCTGCCTCTTCTGTCAACTTGTTAGTTTTCGCCTGTAGATCTTCAAGTTTGTGTGACATCAGATACAAGTCATCGGCGAAATCCAAGTCTTCTAGGTTCTTTTCCGTCGTCCAGTGTATCCCCTCTTCTCGCTGCCTACTGTTTGCTGCATGATCCAGTCCACCACAATAAGGAATATCATGGGGGATAGTAGGCAACCTTGTTTCACTCCTGTTTTCACTTCAAAAGCATCACTGAGCTTTCCATTGTGAATTACTTGGCATGTGGCGTCTTCATATAGTTGTTGAATGAGGCTGATAAAGGTTTGCGGTACTCCGTAGTAATGAAGCAGTTTCCAAATTACTTCTCGGTCGACGCTGCCAAAGGCCTTCTCAAAGTCGATAAAGTTGAGGTAGAGAGATGATTGCCATTCTATGCTCTGTTCTATGATGATGCGAAGTGTTGCAATTTGGTCCTCACATGATTTGTACTTCCTGAATCCAGCCAGCCAGCCTGTTGCTATCGTAGTTTTGAATCCAGTGCATCCTTTAGTCTCTCCAAGATGATGCGGCTTAATATTTTGCTTGCTCTGGGTGGACAGGAGCGTGATTTGGCTCCAGTTCTTGCAAAGACTTAGGTCGCCCTTCTTCGGTAGTTTGACAAGGTAACCTTTCTTCCAATCACCAGGTACCTTCCCTTCCTTCCAGACCTTCTGCAATAGTAGTGTGAGCATGTCCGCTGTTGTCTGTGCGCCTGTTCCCAGTGCTTCTGGTGGGATTCCATCTGGTACTGCTGCTTTCTTGCATTTTAGTAGCTTTATAGCTCTCAGGACTCAGAACTGAGGTTTATCACCAGCTTCTTTGATGGCTTTTAACTTGATTTAAAAGGTTCCTTGCACTATATAGTGACTGGTCTGAGCCTACATCTGCTCCTCTTCTTGATCCTGTGCCAAGTAGGCTGCGTCTCCACTTTCTTGAGATTGAAATAAAGTCGCACAGTGATACAGTATTATTTACTTGATTACGTTTCGAGCATAAATTATTGCTCATAATCATACTGTGCGCTATATATCAAATAATATGGAATAAAGTCGGTCTGATTTTTAGTGTGTCCTAGTGTCTGGTGAAATCCATCTCGCTTTGTGGATATCCTTGTGCTTGAACACAGTGCCTTCAATCACCAAATCGTTGAATGCACAGAATTCTGCAAACAATTTTCTATTCTCGTTCATTTCACCTAGCGCTTCTCGGCTTATGATTAGTTCTCTTCCTGTGTTTTCCACTCTCAGTTTGGCATTCATGTCGCCCATTCGAATTTTGATGTCGCCAACTGAGGTCTTGTCCAGTGTTGACTGCAGTTGTCTATAGAATTCCTCCTTTTCCTCTTGTTCTGCATTATTTGTAGGTGCATAGCGTTGTATGATTGTGACCTTCCTTCCTTCCTTTTGAGTTGAACCTTACTGTTATGATCCTGGAGGAGATTGGTTCCCACTGCATGAGAGCCTTCAATGCTCTTGAGAACATCATGATAACCACTCCCACCGTGTTCTCTTGATTGTCACCTGGGTGACAATATCGGAGTAGATTAGATTTCTGACTGTCCAGTTAACAGTTTGGAGAGTCCACTCCCATTCCATCTGCTTTCGCAAATTCCTAGCACTTCAATGTGATACCTTCTCATCTCGTTTGCAATCTGGGCTGCCTTGCTGGGTTCAAACATGGTGCGGACATTCCATGTCCCCACGTTTACTTTCGCTTTCATCGAGAGAGGTGAAGATACATCGGCCAATAGGCTTGCCGAGGGCTTTCACCAACCGGCATCATTTCGCCTCTCCGATTCCAGCGAGGAATAATTTTGTTTTTGTTTTTTATATTTTGTTTGTGCTTTGAAGTTTGTTTAGCGGTTAGATTTGTTTTACGGGGTAGGGTTGCTAGCCCTACGCTCAACCTTTCCTCTTTACCCGGGCTTAGGACCGGCTAGTAACTAGTGAACTAGTTAACCAAGCTAGGTTATCATGCTAAATAGAAACCAGTTATCCATCCACTTAACTCAAATAATAACGGTTATTGTTAAAAACCAGTTGAAGATTAGTAAGTTTTATCTTGTTCATAACCTCAAGTTTCAATCCTTAAACTAGGTGGACATGGTTTTCTTTCAGTGTGATGCACTTTGTAGCTGGTGTAGCACTAGTTAAGTAACTAAAAATATTCGACACATTGGCATACCTTGTAGTAACCGTGGTGTTTGCTGCAACACTCGTTTTAGTTAAACTGGCTTCAAAATATTAGGAAATCCGTTCGTATCCACTGTGCACAGTCTTTGGTGAAATTCACATATTTCTCTAAAGACCTGCAATGGCCCCGACTAATACCTGCTACTTTGACATTGTGGTCCTGCTCTCATATCACAATGACCCAGTGAGCTGTACTGGTGGAACACTTTTTTCCTCGTGGTCCTACCATGCCAGAAAGGTTCGTTGGATAGTGGTAAGACGAAAAGCAGTTACCACTACGAGGGCGAAGTCGTACTACTGGCTGGATGGCTTGTGATAGAAGTAAGATGTTCCCTTTGAATGACTAGAAGTGCCACGCTGATGCTGTCTTCCCGACAGGAGAGGAGGTTAGAAAAGGTCGACCCCAAAAATAACGTACCATTTACCCCACAGTCTTCCGGTATCGTCGCTATGGGTTCTGTCTAGCCGGTGTTACAACAACCAAACCTCAGAACAGCATCTGACAAAAGGCCGTTTGTGCAGGCCTCAAGCAGATACCTCATGGGCTCTGGAGTCACACAAATCTTTTTCTCTCTCAGGTACCTCAATAGGAAATGGTCTTCTACGGCGTATGCAGCCGGACAGTGTCAACCACCCGCACACTTCAAGTACCGAAAATGACTCAACCAAGCATAATATATCCTCCTCAACCATGTTTTTTCATTTGCCTTCACCTCCTGCTACTAATATTAAGCCTCTCAAACCTTACCTAACCTCTGATTCTGCAACCAATGCATGTGATTGAAGCCGTCGAAACCTCATTCCTGTTCTCCTATGACGATCCCACCATCAGTTTCATTTGAGAGCTTTCAGTATCCGACCTGTATGTCTAATCGGAGAGCGAGCATCGCTGGCTGGAATTGTGGAATCTCTAACCATAGATGTATACTATATCTGTGAGACACGTGTACAGGACTGGAGTGTGGTTATGAAATTGACCTCACCTAGCCATAGTAGTGAGGTTTCAAAATTCACGTTAGGTGTATTCGGAGATGCAATGGTTATCTCTCGTGGACTGTCTGGTGTAGGCTTAGCATTGAGTTGTAGAGCAGATTGTGTGCTTCTCTACTGGATCCAAGTAAACATCAGTGTATGTGTTCGACTGAATGGATGTGTAGGGCTAGGAAGGATTGTGAGACTAGGTGATGGCTGTTCGTGATTTCCGCCTACGGATACACCGACTGACTGTAGTTTGGATGACGCAAAGGATGAGTTGTATGACAATCTGTCAACTTTGCTACAGAAAGGAAAACGTTGGGATGTAGTCGTAATTGCCGGTGACTTTAACGTTCGAGTAGGGAAGCTTAGTCAATCGGAGAGACATCTTGGGAGTATTTACAGAATCTGATGGCAACGAACCGACAACGGTGATCATATTGATCATACTGCAATATTGTTCTGACAACCACTTATTTCTGGCCAGCACTAACTTTAGGGATAAGGAGATACACTGTCTCACATGGTGTCCACTGACTTCAAACCAACGAAGGACACAGACAGATCACATTGCTATAGGCCATTGTTGAAGTGAATCTGTGGGGGGTGTTGCCACTCTACCTGAAGTATGACGTGATAGTACGAGTTCGTGAATGTTTGCAGCTTAATGGTCTCCGGAGATAGGCGATAGTAAAGCCTGTCTATGGTTGGTTGGAAGATGTGGACGTGAAGTCCACGTTTATAGAGGAGTTATCTGGACAGGCAGTAATGTTCACTCTGAGGACAGCTGATGTGATATTAAGTCTTCTGTAGAACCAGGAGTAAAGACAGTTGGTATCCTATACCCGAAGGTTGCTAACCGTCATTGGATTTGCACGATTTCGTGCGAACTGATTGATGAGGTAAGACTGATGACGACGAAGAGCGAAAGCAACTTAAACGTAAGTTGGCCAAGAGTCTTCGAAATGATTGTGAGCTGTGATGGATGACGAAAGCGAGAGAGATGGAGAAGGCATGAGCGTTGGCCTTATTAAAGAGCTTATTAGGGATACGGCGAAGAAGAAGACGATGGAGAGTGGAATCATCACCGAAAAGGATGGGTTAGGGATAACTCCCAGGAAAGGCAGCTAGAATGTTGGGCAGAGCACTTCGAAACCCAGTCAACTAGCCCTCAAACACTCTTCAGTTGGTCACCATCCAGCCTGGACCTGAATGGGACATAGATGTCGGTCGTCCAACTCACCTTGAAGTTGAGAATGCTGTTTCTAACCTGAAACGATGCAAAGTAGCAGGACGTGATAGTTTTCCATCCAAGCCTCTTAAAGATTGAGGTAGGAAATTGCTGACTAGAGTGATGGAGGTACTAGGTGGTAGTATGTGGGAATTAGAGGTAGTGCTGTCAGCCTGGTGTACCTCACTGGATTGTTCCAGTCTATAGGGAAGGGGATGAACCTTGTGACAAACATAGAGTGTTTAGTTTGACTATTATTGTGTAGAAAATATCCTAGAGTGCATAGTTGTACGACGCCTGACTGGAGCTGAAGAAGAGCGAACTCGAGGAAACGAGATAGGTTTCAGACGTGAACGAGAGTGCATCGACCATATTTTTACCCTCCAACAGGTTGTGGAACACAGACACGCTTACGAGTGGCCGACACTTACCATATTGGTTGACGTGAAGTTGAGGTTTGACTCTGTTGACTGTGAGATGTTGTTGCAGTGTTTCAGTGTACGTGGAGTACCGAGCGAGTATATGATGCTAATGAAAGCTCTCTACTTGAACTGATGGAGTCGTGTAAGGAAGGGTGTATGGATAGTTATCATCTGGATTGGGGACAGATAGTGGTGTATTTGAGTGATATGCACTGCTACTGTTCCTATTAGACGTCGTCATAGAATTAATTACTGATGTATATGGGTGTAGGCACATCTGAATAAACAGGGATTGATCTACTGTTTGCAGGTCATGCATGCGGTTGACTTAAATTGTCCAGACGATGTTGTCCTGCTAGGTGAAGAGGCTGATGCAGTGCAGGGTCTTCTGGATGGGTTGAGGAGGAATCTGAGTATGTTTGGCATGAGTTTCTCTGGCACTTGTCAAATATAAGATGATGCTTCTGTACTGGTCTGTTACAAATACTCCCAGTTTATTGATTTGAAGTGAGGTGATGGGTTGTGTCATCCAATTCACTTACTTGGAGAGTTGGATCAACGCGAACAGGCTGGTTGCTGACGAAACTTCAAGTGGAATGTTGAAAGCCTGTTTGGCATTGGCCAACTTGCGTCATCTATGGCGCTGTCCGGTGAGGTATCTAACTATGTGCTGCAGTTCGTTCTGTCCTGTTTTCATGACTGCCAGACATGACAGTTGAAAGTGGGAGACATGAAGCGGTTACAGAATTTTGAGCACTGAGGTCTTCGTAGCATTGGTCGCGTTTGGTGGGACCATCAGTTGAGCATTGTTGAGATCAGGATAAGGGTACTGGGAAGAGTGGAAGTTGATTAATGAGTTTGTGAACCCATATCGACTTAGATGACTTGGACGTGTACTGCGCATGCCAAGTCTTTATATCGTTGGCATGTCATGCTAGGGGATTTTGGGTTAGGTTGGATAAAGGTTCAGTGTATCCAGACGAGGACCTAACACCAGTTGATGAGGTCTCTTATTGCTGGTGTGTGGGGAGATGTCGACTGCTTGGTTGGGTCTTCGAGACGAAAGGAATCAGTGGTTGAGGATTGTCTCTTGGTGACATGGTTGAAAATTGGCCACCTTGGCGCAGATATATTCACTGCTTGACATCTTGAACTTGAATATTTGCACAAACCGTCATATTCAGATTGTTTGTTCTCCTACACAACTTTATCTACTCTAGTATCACTTTTTCTATGCACCTGTCCTTTGTGTATTACTTTGAATTGTGGCAATTCGAACCGACACACCTGTGTGAGGTTCTACCTGCATTTTGTCAGTTAGTCAGTTCTGTAAAAGCAAGCTTTTCTGCAATGTTATCAGCCTTTAAAACCTTACGCTTCATAAGTTATTGTCTTAACCACACCTTCATTGATAAGATTAGTTCAGATATTTTATTATTTTGTGATTTTCATTGTTTGATCATTCTAGTTTTTGAGTAGATTCTGACAATGAACCACATGACATTTCTTCTCCAATTTACAGGCAGCATGCAAGGTGATAATATTTTCTACGCTAAGACCTCCTTACTCCTGTTCCTGAAGAGTTTGCCTGTGAATTGCCGATTCCAAATTATTGGTTTTGGATATGATTTCGAGGCCTTATTTCCAGAGTAAGTTGTATCTTGGTTGACATCACCGTTATAATGACTCACCTGTTATCACAAAAATTGTTGGAGGCTATTTAAAAACGCATAATAATCTCAAAAGTGAAGCTTAATTATACAGTCGTTTCATGTCTGCATACAGCTTACCCTTAGGTTACATCCTTGATAATATTTGAATTTAAAATATTGTCTTTTAGTATCTTCATTTTACAGTTGTGGCCTGAGAGTTTTGGTATTCAATTTTTTTAACGTTAATAAGTTTGTAGTAATCTTATGCTTAACTGCAATTTATATTGGTGTACTTTGAAAGAACTGTGTAACTTTCAAGGCACACCATGATGATTGGTTACCACTTTGTTATCCCATAAAATAAGAGTTGTGAGGTATGATTAAATCTTGGTTATTTTTAAAATTATGAACACCTGGTATTTGTAGTGCAGTTATTGAAAACTGTTGACGGAACTCTCTTGCGGGTACTCAACTTCACCTCACCACAGCTGCCTTGTCGAGTTGTGTATTCTGCATATGGTTTGCACTGTTTAATATTTATTTCTTAAATTCATTCACCATGTAGTTACTGAAGGTTCTTTTGTGTATGAATGCTTTTGAATAACGAATTGCTTTCTTTCTTAAGACATATTGCTGTGCAAAACTTGATTCAAATATCATGAAACCGAAAGTACCATTAAGATTTGTCAGCACTGTTATTTATGTATTGGTTTGGATCATGCAACAATTAGTCCTGGTTAGAATTGTAAAATTCTTTATTGTTAATATATGTTTGTTTCAAGGTTCGCTTTCAAAACTCATCTGTAGTACTGCAGATAAATTACTTCTATTTGCTCAATCAGATTTTAGAAGCGATTGTTTTGCAGCCTTGTGATTTGTAGAATTCTTGATTGTAGTGGGCTTCTGGACTCTGAAGCTGAAGCTGAACCACTCTACTGGATTCTCATGAACAAAACTCTGTGTTACCAGGTCAGAAGATTCAGTCAAAGCAAAAGGTGACTGGCACGTTATCTCTGTATTTGATATATAGATTGCAGCTTGGATTGAACTGATAATTGATTTCGTGTCTGCTAAGAATCGAAATCGAAATGCACTCAGCAACCTTGTGTACATACGTGAAATAGGCATTGAGCCACATCTAGTGTGTAGCGCTTAGTGATACTGCCTGGTTGCCCAAACCTTGGTGGGTGGAGCGGGGTTTGAAGCTGTGACCTACCGGTTGAAAGTCAACTCCTGAAACCAATGAGCCGCAGCTCCATGTCTACTAAAAAACCTCATACGTGTTAACCTGCAGTGTTGTCTAATATCCTGAATTCATAGGTGTAAAGGCATCTCGACTATTGAAAACTTGTTGACAGCATGCTGAATCGTTCGAGTTTTCTCCCTTAACCTTTCCTAGTTCATAGCCTATTGTCGGACTAACCACCACCAATCCAGCCAGTACTTATCATCATCCTTATCTACTTCTATTTTCGCCAAACTTGGTCCAATTAAAGTAGCTACTGATGATGTACACATGTACTGGGCTGTGGAACCTCCTAGTATATCTTTCTTCTTCTCAGTATTGTTGTTTTATGTTTCAGATACATCTCTATCTGTATTTACTAAATTTAGCTCAGGTGAATAGATGTTTGCGAACACGTTGTATCTAGAGTTTTATTTACTTCGGCCTCGGCAACCGAGTTGTTATCCCATGCCTTCACGCTATGAGTATGGTTTGTAGCCTAGTACGTAAACATGTACCAGCTTTAGTGACATCAAGTTAAACGTTAAGTTACACCTAGATATCACTTTGGAGTTATTATCAATCACTTGCCTGTGTAAGCAAGTGGTAACTAAACTGCAAAATGCCATAAGAAATGGTGACTAAATTTTTAGTTTTAACATTTAGAAAGTTTCATAATCTTATGTCTACTGACAGGATTCCTCACTCCCGGTGTTAGGACCGTAATACCTTGTAATAACTACGTACTTCTGTGATAAAAACACTTTTCCTGCTCAACAGTTATTACACTTTTGAGGTGCCTGCTACCCACTAGATGAAACAAGCATAGTATTTATCAGGGGTGTCTAATGCTGTAAGCATGGAGCTATGAAGCGAACCTCTTGGATTACTAAACTTTTGTATACAATTATATTTTGCTATATTACCTGCCTGGATAATGATAACTGATCTGATGAAATACGGTCTAGAAAGAATTCAGAGTGCAATAGTTTTTAGCCACTAAGTGTGACTGGTCTACGTTCGGCTTTCTCAGAATGAGACGAAAGTTCTAGTCCATGAGTTGACTCATCGAGCTGTGACTTACTACTGTTGACCCAGGGGTTAAAAATTTAATTCATATACTTCATTTTGAAAAGTCGGGCTGTATATTGGCCGATACGCTGGTGCATAAACACTACGTGGTTGAGGAGTTTGAGTAAACTTTTAATATTGTATTGTTTGAGGAGTTCGCTGGATTATCCGAGAATACCTGGCGAACTGATAATGTTCAGTCTATTTGAAATGAAGTTATATTTTTATTTGCCTTCAATAAAAATATGTGTAAGATGGGAGGAGGTAATTCTATACTTTGATTGGTCATTGGAGGTTAACCAACGTCATGTTGTCTAGTCCTAATTGCTGGTCGAATCCTATCGATCATTTTACTGTGGCCGTCAGACTATGCAGCTCAGCATCGCAATGCACTTTTATAGATGTTAGTTGGATGTGGGTAATCGACAGGAAGCCCTGAACCTAAGTTTCGTGCTTCTTGGCACTCGTCAGCAAGACAACATAAAGTTGTTTACCCCCCTGTGACCAATCAATGCATCTAATCCAGTCCTACAGGAGGTACGTCGCGGCTTGGATAGCTCAGTGGTAAAGTTGCTGACTACAACAGGGTGATGCGGGTTCGAATCTCATGCGGGACATCAGCTCCGTCGGGGTTGCAGGTACGCCTTGCCGACGAGTGCCAACAAGCACGAAACCTAGGTCCAGGGCTTCCTGCCGATCGCTTCCATCCAACTAAAAGATAATTCTGTTCCTCGATATTTAAACTAGCGTTATGTTTACTGAGGGGAACTTTGTTCTTTATACTGTCTCTAAAAGCGCGATGTTTTTGAGAAGTTATCTTGCATCGTTAAAGCTCAGTCCGTAATCCTAGTGAATAGATTGTCAATCTTCGTCGTTAAAAACCAACAATCAAACTACGCAGGATTGTCTGATTTCCAGATGCCTTTTTAAACTTTGTATCAATCGTACTGTGGAATCACATTTCAAAAAGAGTGCTTGGTGGCAGTGGTGCATATTTGTTCGTTGAAGAGTTTGATTATGACTAAATAAACAATTTGTGATTCTTTTAGCACGACACTGTAAGGTGCATAAAGATTGGACTTCACTTTAGTGAAGGGTAAATAATATTCTACAAGTTTCATCTTGGGGAAAGCGGATCATCTACTGGGACACATCTTAAAAGTGACGTCACTACAGGTTTTGCATTGAAATAGATTGCCTACTTTGCTACCAACTGAAAGATTTGAACTGGAAGTCAGAGTACTATATGATTTGGAGGAAATTCGAGTTTTGTTGCGTTATTTATTTACATAGCTAAACGACGGGAAGAAGTTGCTAAAGATCACATCCCTGCGTTTTGGAACATCACTATATTGAAATCAGGAGTGTTTATGAATTAGTTCTTCCCACCCAGGCAGTAAGGTATCGATGATCAATCGTTTCCTTTTTTCGTGATCTTAAGTGGTAAATTTATGGGTTGTTAGTTTTTACTTTGGCAACTACAATTAAGACTATACATATATAATATTCTCATGGACGTATTTTATCAACTGTCCAATTTGTAATTGGTTTTTTCGAACTTGTACAATTGAAGTTACTTTACAGGCCACTCTAACGCTTGCTAAAATAACCATTTAAGCTTGGGTATTTCGACTGGGACGTTTGTTTTTTGATAAAATAAAGAACCGTAATTGGTCATCTCGTCAGTTGTTAGGGTGGCCTTTAAAGTCGGTCTTAGACTTAAACAAAGTGGTACATGTTTGATATCATTGAAATGTTAGGAATGGTTCAAGATGAGTAATGGCATTGTCTGAAGTTGACCAGCATGGTTAATATGTTATCATTTCCAAAATTTCCAGCAACTTCCTTTATTTACTGTGTTTCATATCTTCTTCGTTTTTTCTACTTTCTCACTCATATCTTTCGGTGATGGTACGGTTTGGTAACTGCACTCTTGTATGTGGTTCTTCCTGACTGCTCAATAAACTTAATGCGATATTTACTCATGAGGTAATGTTAAGTGTGGAGGGGTGCAGTTAACAGCTTTCAGGGCTTTTTCTGTGCTCTTCTACTGCTGTTATCAGTGAAAGTTCGTCTTATATTTAGAATTTGTTTTTGCCCCCTACTGTTGATGAAGAACGAAGTGACCACTACTTTCTTGCTTAAATTTCCCCACTAATTTCTTCCTCATTAGGCCAAGAAACTACTCTGAAGAATCTTTGAGTGAAGCAATGAAGTATCACAAAAGCCTGGAAGCTGATATGGGTGGCACAGAAGTTTACAAAGCTTTAGAATCAGCTCTAAGTTCAACACCAAATGATGAAGGTTGGTTCAAGCAAATCATATTTCTTACGGATGGTGATGTGGGCAATGCAGATGAAGTAGGTTGTATTTTTGTTAAGCTTTAAGTTCTTATTTCCTAATCCAAGATTGGTATATGCATTATGTTGAACTAAAATTGATATGCTTGTAGAATAGTAGTTCATAGTTATTTATAGGGTGTTAACTCTGGAATGGTGATTAATATCTAAACCCCAGCAGTGACACGTGAACTCCAAAAGTCAAGAAAAATTATTGAGGTTTATTAACAAGGGGGTACTGTAAACAAGGATAATAACTAGAATAGCAACCTCCAACCTAAAAGCCCTGAGTTTGATCACTGGTGGGTTATGAATGTATGCTGCAGAAGAGTCCCGTCCTAGAACGAAACACCTGTCCAGTTATTATATTATTATTAGGACACCAAGGGCACCCAGAAGTGCGCCACATAAGTTAGTATAATAAGATTGTGAAGACATAAACGATGGGAAGTGGATCAGTAAGGAAGAAAAAAATATGAATAGTGTAATCAGAAGGGTAGTCCAGTAAGGTACATTCGAAACGAAACTCACTACTTTTCAGCAGCAGAAGATAGAAGAAAGCTACAGCGTGACCGTCACTGGTTTTGATTCTGAGCCATATCTGATAACATCTGGAGCCAGTGAGTTGCTTGGTCTCTCACACCCCACACATAAAGTCGTGATGAACCAACAGATGGCAACCCACTACAACTATCCTGTATTCCAAGGCGCCATGTCATACACTGACCACCTCTCGCTTCTTCCATTCAGTCACAGGGCTACCAAACAATCAGTGATATAGAAGCCGTTGGGACGACATGCGTAACACATGTTCAAGCCACCGAAGCCGGTGTTTCCAGATGACTTTACTTATTGAGTGACGATCTTCATCATGCCCTAACACACACTGTCGTACCTCAGGATTATTTACATGGTGTTGCCACCGGATACGAGTAGTCCTATGGAGACAACGATGATCGAACACAGAGTCGTCGCATATCCTCAGCTCAGGGAGGCCAGGTTTCACAGACGTAGAGTAGAACTGCTTGCACCCAAGCGTTGTAAACCCGACCTTTTACCATTAGACTAACATCATGACGGCGCCAAAGGTGGCCCGGATTGACGTATGCCAGTTTGGCTTTCGATACGCGGTTGGAAATTTCACCATATCTCCACCAGCACGCATAACGACCCAGATCCCCGAACTTTTCGACTACTTCCAATGGCTCGCCACCAAGGATGAGTGGGGTGCAGGAGTATAGGCTCCTGTCAATCTCTCAAGAGTACTTTGCTCTTCAAGGGTGCGAAGCACATACCAAACTTACAGACACAGTAAGACGATATTGTTCGCATATTCAAGGTCGAATAGTTGTTCTCCGGGCAGTAAATCTACACCAGCATCAAGCACTTCCTTCAGAGCTATCTTGAGGATGTTATCGACAGTAGAGTTGGAGAGCAATGGAGAAATCGGACAACCCTGCTGGTTTGGAATAATGGAGACAGGTTGTTGTGTCCCCTCACTCTGCCTGGAGTGTTAATATATAGGGATTTTAAGATGTTAATAAATTTCTCAGGCATTACCCTCTCCAACAGACAATTCCAAAGTACAGCTCTGTCCGATGAATCGAAGGCAGCCCTAATGTCAAGGACTACAACTATGACTAGCCTGCAATACGTGTGGCGATGTCCAAGCATCTGGTGGAGGGTAAACACATGACCATTGTATCCACGACCTAAACAAAAAACATGCCTGCTCCTCGCGAATCATTTTTGCACATGTTTCACGAAGTTTGCGAATTGTGGTAGCAGCCAATATTTTCGACATGACTGGTAATAGACTAATAGCCTGATGATTGTTACATACATAACGTAGGCCTTTTTTAAAGATGGGCATAACGATGGATTCATTCCAGAGTGACGACACACTCTCAGTCTGCCATCCCTTCCCGAAATATCTAGTCACTTCCCAGGATAGAGCCGTTTCCCCATACTTAAAAAGAGCCGGGAGTAAGTTGTTTGGGTCGGGTACCTTGTGGCGTTTCAGAACTCAAAGTTTCTTATGGATCTCCGCTTCGTTAGGTGGGTCAGTGTTAACTAACCATGGAGCACCTTACACTGAAGCTTACAATGCTAAAGCAGTGGGCCAGCTAAACTGCTTTTCGAAGTGCTCTGCTCAGGGTTTCAGGCGTCTTTGAAGATTGTTTGTCAGCGTACCATCTTCCTCACAGATCGTTTAACTGGCACTAGGCTTCTTACTGCCAGTGGTTCGAATTGGTTGGAACAGCTTAAAACTATCACCAGATGCATCTGCTTCTGACGTTTCACTTGCGCGTTTTGACCACCAAGCACTGTGTACTCTTTCGCGTAAGAGACGCCAACCATTGTACTTGCTATCCGCTGAAATGGTCCGATGGGCTTCAAGAAGTAGTAGGGAGCTCTGAGAGACTCAGTGTTCATTAGTGGGACGTTCTTTCAAGCGGAAAGCGGCTCTACTGGCTATTTTCATGACATCTTGCAAATACAGACGATGCTCATCTACGCTTTCTGGAGGAGCGGTAGCTAGCCTAAAATCTAGCTCTTATTGGTGTTTAGCTGCACTGTTAGGTGCGACTAATTTTCTTGCATCGACCTGTTTAAGACGATGATTTTGATGACCACCAGAACGCAAGACGAGCGTAGCATACACTAAAGCATGGTCAGAGTCCTAACAAGTACTCCATATGAAGCGGCAATCTTGTATGCAACCGCGCCATCGGTAGCTGATTGCAATATGATCTATTCGAGTCTAGGGTTGAGCGGTAGAGGGAAGATGCTAAGTAGCACAACGGCGATAGCTGTGCCGAAAGTCATGGCTGGCTAGAAATAGGTTGTGATTTGTGCAAAGCTGCAGAAGACAGTCCCCACTATCCGACCTGCAACCAACTAGTCCCCATTGGCCGCCTAAACGACTCTCTCCTGAGCCTAAAGCCCGACCTGCTCATTCAAGTCGCTGACTAGCACTACGATATCTGTCGAGCGCATTTGGTCGGAAGGTCACTTAGTAGATGATAGAATTCATCTTGATTGGATCCGGGCTGCAGTCCGTCGGAGCATAGGCAGAGATGACAAAGAGACATTGTTTCTCTTGGCGGTCACTTGTTACTCGAGTTGAATCTTCTAGCCTAACAGCACACGGACGACTTTCGATGTGGATCCAGTCAAATTACTGCAGTTTTGGTCTGAGTGCTTGGTGCGAAACCGACACCAGCGACGCCGGTTGGCGATGCCACAGGGTCCCCGGACAAGCGCACATGAAACATACGTTTTGAGCTGACAGATGGGGAACTAGTTCGAAGGACTTCACTGGGATCTTATATGGGGTCTCTAAGGTGCAGCATACAACAGTAGCGAGGCTTTCCAGAGTCCTAGCCAAACCTGTCTGTCGTCAGATCTACATTAGGGTGCGAACGTTGAAGGTGGCGAGCTCTGACGGCATGAGTGGTTTCAGTATAGCTGTATCAGATGTCTCACTGGAGGTCAGCTTCATTGGAGCGACTGCTTAGAGACTCAGAACGGTACAAACAAACCAGAAGTATAAGCAATGGAGAGCAGCTAAGTGAAGTGGAGTGAAGATACAAGCAAAAGCCAAAACAGTAATAGCGAAAAAACATAGTTCATATGTAAAAACAATATAATAGCAACAAATTGTGTATGGGATGGGATACTATTCGGGTACCCAGATCGAAGCACGTGGTTGTGTTAGGGGACTACTCCCCTAACCTTTGGCTTAAAGTCTAATTCACAAGGCAGTGGGGCAACATAAAGAGCTGCATTCTCATTGTTGTCTGTGATCGAAATAGGTTCACACGCCATTCGTTCAATCTCTAACCTAGAGTTCATGAACACCATTGGTTTGGAATCAGGGTTTACCGACTCCCCTAGGTGGACCGTCAGTATACATCACTCCAGTGATAAGCACCAGACATTCATTTGCCTCCTTCCACTTCTGTGAAAACACCCCTGCCTCGTGAAGGCAGCGAATAGAACTTTTCTAGCAGAGGCTGTGAACGCGTACCAGAGAATTTGGTTTCTGACGCTTCTCCAACCGATGTCAGTCTGTGATGAATACTACCTTAAAATACAGAGGTGTCAGTCGAACACAAAAGGTGTGTGGGTGGATAATAATGTTACATTACAAATACGTTTTGTTGGGGTGCGAAGATGGACAAAAAGATAGGCATAACATATTCAGCATGGGGGCGATCTCATGAAAGTAGTTTTATGTGATATGCATTTGTTGTTTAAGTTATTCTTCTTTGAATCATCTATATGTAGACTGTCATCGTTTGCTGAAACGTGTGTAATAGTTGCATAAAGTTGTTATGGTATTTAAAAGTCGATTGTAGCAGATGAGTTTCAGCAAAGCAACGATAAAGTAGCTTCACATCTAGGTAATTTGAAGTTTATTTCTTCCTGTTCAGTTAGCTGTTATATTTCTGGTATAGCTATGCTGAATATAAGCTGTAAATTGCTTATTTTCAAGCCTAGATTTACTTAGAAGTAGAGCAAATCTCCAGTACGATGAAGCACTACATCGAGTTAAACAACGTCAGTGAGTATTTTCTTTGTCAAATGACCCATGTTACACTGAGAGACACTTTAGGTGAGTAAATTATATGTATCAGTAAGCTAGATTATGTAGAATGGAATAAAACCAATCAGAATTATGAAGTTAAGCGTAACCATTTTAGATCAGAAATCTTTTGGCATAATTGCTTTTATTTTAGGTAATCGGATTAGTACGATTGAATGTTCATAGAGCTAGAGTATTCGCTATTGGTCTTGGGGAAGGCGCAAGTACCGGATTAGTTAGTGGTGTTGCTCGTGCTGGTAATGGGACTGCAGCATTTGTTCGTGACAAGTAGGTGTTCTGTTTTTCTGTATAAAAGACTTTTTTTTCGTTTTTCACTATGCATGACTCATTTCACTATTAAGTGTTTTTTAACCGCAATACACCTATGTTATCAGATTATGTACGCGTTATCTGACATACCCCTGCGTTAAACTTTCCTATCAATCATTAGCTGTTGATTGCGTAATCAGTCGTTTTATCTTGTATGATATTTAACCTAGCTGTGAAAGAAAACAGAACACAGAAATAATGTGAGGAAAAGGCTTAAATCAGTCATCTGTAAAACATATGCAGTCAAGGTCATCATTGTAGAGAAGACAAAGTCCACGTTACAACACAAACCAAAACAACATTGCATCACACCCCACTGTGTTTATCAATTTGCATGTATGTATGGATACACATACATAGGGTGGAGTAATCGTGATATCCAATTAAGGATGGTTGGACATGTACCTGAGTGGCTTCAAAAACAAATGATCTCAATAGATCCGACAAGTACAGGTGACAAACGTCTATCTTCATTTATCACTAAACATATGCTAGAAACTAACCCCAGGGTAGACATGAGAACAGCTTTTAAAGTACTACATAAAAGTGAACAGGACGATTGTTTCAATTTATTGAAACTCTTATCGTCCGTAAATTCAAATCCACCCTATGTTTACAAACACAATAGCACTCGTGTTGTACCCACCTTGGTAGTATTGATTTTACTCTTCATACCAAGACTAACGTGATTAGGACTTTGTTTATTCTCTGCCCTTCCTATTCCTATGTTTCCTATTAACCTCATTGACCCTTTTCGTAAATTTCCATGTAAGTATTTCGACGAGTCTATGTGGTATCAGACTATTCGAAATGTATAATGCCAATGCATCACATGTTTCACATAATCTTACTCTATCATAACGCTATTTAACTTTATCAAAGCGACAACTTGCTATGTGGTTTGTTCCTTATTCATCAATCGCAATGAAGAAGTTGATTATTTTCCTGATGAATTTCACATTAACTACATCATCAATAGTGTTTCCTGAAGCATTCTTTTCATTCACTTTCTCATTTTGTGCAATATCAGTCTGTAAACTAAAACCTGATCTTATTCTGCTAATGATAAATAAGTGGTAGCTAATCCAACTAACACAAGATCAAAAAAGGAAGCAGATATGTAGGTTGACACCACTATCTAGTGCGAGGAACCTTCAAAATCAAGTTGAAGGCATTGAAAGAAGCTGGTGATAGACCACAGTTCAAGTTCAACACCCAAAACTGAAGGACGACACTACAAATGACATCTTCACGTCAGGCATCAGGACAAAATGGGAGACATCGAACAACATCCTCGAGGAAGCCTGTGTGGAAGAACACTGGAACTTTTTGAAAGAGACGTGGAAGGAAACCTGCATAACCTTATTAGGAAGGAAGAAGAAAGAAGACAAGGAATGGATCTCCATGGGTACGTGGAAGCAGATGGAGCAGGGAGATGAAAATGGCGAATCAGTAGATGAACCAGTGCAGTGTAGGGATGAACAACGAAAAGAGGGACTGAGTACAACCTATAAAACACTGAACTGGACAAAGAAGTGAAGGAGAGTGCACAGAAGGACAGAAGACACTTCCACGACACAGTGGAGCAAGTGAAGCAGAACAGGCTGCTGGTAGGAGAGACCTGACAACGCTATATCAAATAACCGGGTTACTGTCTGGGAGGGGAGAGATCAACGCAGATGAAAGCAATGAGAGATGGTGAAGGAAACGTAGTTACTGAAAAGAAGGAGCGAAGGTAACGATGGGCTGACCACTTCAAAAAACTTTTGAATCGACCACCATCTACAACTCGTCCAGAAATGCCACCGACAACTGCAGAATTACCAGTGAACACAAGTTCTCCGATGGACGAGTTGGGCGTCGGAGAGTGACATGGAGAGATGGTGTGAGGAAGAAATGGAAGCTTCTGGGTAGTCATGGATGCAGGTTGAAAAGACTGGAGAGAAGAGAGTGAGATGGTGATGTGTTACTGAAGTCCTATGTTCCACTAGGAACGCATGGGACAAATAGTGATGATAATAATCCAATTGATACATTCGGCTGATAAGGAAACATGAACAGTCTGACGAAGAATCTCTGTAGTGCAGTATAGAAACAATTAATTTTACCTGATGCAAGATTTGTAACTAGTAGGTTGCATTATAGTGAAACACAAAGTCAACATTGTTGCATGGATCTTTGTCTTTCTGAAGTTTGTACTGATTATAATGTTGTCTAGAATGATAATGAATGCTTCACGATTCAACCATCCAGTGTAGAAAATACAACACTATTAAAATCAATGATAGTGTATTCGATTCCATCCTTTTTGGATCATAATGTTGGCAAAATGGAATACGAATAGGCTGAAAAATTGTGTCCTGGGGTTTTCGCTCAAAACTATCTGTAGTTACCGCTTTATAACGTTGTTACCAACTGAGATTTTTCATTCGAAATATTTTCCACATGAAGTTATTCGACTCATTAATTTGAATTGATGTTCAAAATATATCATAACTCAAAAATTGAATGGTTTTCTCATGGCAAAGACATTGTAGTGAGTTAAGTAGGTTATTTGAAAATAGAAGTACAACGACCAATTATCTTATCTTTCACGATGTATTGAAATGAGGTAATCAGTCTACCATGTGGGCATTCGTTCAATAGGCAGTGAGCGACACCTACTGAAATGAAACGAGAAGACAGATACGAAGGCAGGAGTGTTTATTGTAAACAAGTGGTACAGTACTGGTTAAATATGGTACACCTTGCAGTAAGTCATTTGCAAAATGTACTTCATTTCCTCTTCTGTTTCTATCTTGATTTGCTCTCCATACGCCCGCGTTGTCTCTTGCATTTCTCTTGGCAGAATCCTTACTCATTGTTGGTAATTCCCTATGATTCTGTCGCCCTCTCAACATATACTACTTATATCCATTCTTATCAGCAATGCCCACTACAATACTATCTAACTGCTCAGACCTCAGTAGGTGGATCTGGGTTCGAACCTGTGACTTATCCGTTGGAAGTCAACGGAACCTAGGTCAGTGAGCCACAATTAGAGATCATAGTTCATTTACAGTAAACTATTTGCTTGATTTAGTGTCTTAATATACCCTATTCCACTTTGGTGTTCACTTATTCTTGGTAGTTAATTGGGTGATTGTGCTCAAAATAACATCTCAACTAAATAACATTAAAGTCATTTAGCATAAAATTAAAGCCTAATAATGACGGTACGAATTAACATATACATCTTGCTTTACTGATGCCAACCTCATTAATTTTAGGATCCATTGTTTTCAATCTGGAAGGGAATCACTTTCATTAGAATTGATTCAATCAGTTTGATTGGTTGTGAATTTGACGACCGAAAGAGAAACTTAATGCCGAACATCCTTTCTGTAATGTTACACATTTCAGTTTTAGTTTACTGCTTAAAATATCTCTGAATAATCTCATTTAGACATTTAGAAAAAGACTAATTGAGCTGAGAAATATATATTCATTAGTCTTCATCTTGCGTTATACATTAATATGCTGTTTTACAATTTAATCAAATTACCAATCACGTGGTAATGTTTTAGAAATAATAATGTAAATAATCAATAGAGTTATTAAAATTGGTAATATGAAGTAGGCCATTCTCAGGTAAATGGAATGATTTTTCATGAGTGTTCAGTCATTCACAATAAACGATTACATAGTAATAAGAAAACAAATGATACGAAAAGTTGATAGAAACAAGAAGGGGAAGAGGTGTACAAAGTAATCCGAGAAGTTGCATCATTTGGACGGCTATGGTAATGAAAGTCATTGAATAAACTTCTTTTGAATACAAAGGTTAGGTTTGTTTGTGAAGGTGGATTGCAACCACCTCTGCTATGTGAAGTAAGTGTGTGTGTAATCCTTATGGTAAATTAATTGGAATGTGATGAATGATGTTCAAAGCTTTTCTAATATACACTTGATGTTCTGCATCAACTAGGTGTATAAGTATGGAGCTATTTATTGTTCTAATTGTACGTTGGGTGTACAATGAGGCAGTTCTATCATCGAATTTCTGAGCACCATCCATCATAATTGAGCAAGTGACAAATTCGAACAGTAAGTAGCTCCATACTTACACGACTAGTTGACATGGGAAATCAAGTGGATATTAGAAAAGTTTTCAACATCATTCATCAGATTCCAATTACTTTACCACATGGATTACACACACATCAATCGCCGTGAAGAAGTTGAATATTTTTCTCATGAATTTTCACATTAACTACATCATCAAAAGTGTTTCCTTATCAGCCGAATGTATCAATTGGATTATTATCATCACTATTTGTCCCATGCGTTCCTAGTGGAACATAGGACTTCAGTAACACATCACCATCTCACTCTCTTCTCTCCAATCTTTTCAACCTGCATCCATGACTACCCAGAAGCTTCCATTTCTTCCTCACACCATCTTCTCCATGTCACTCTCCGACGCCCAACTCGTCCATCGGAGAACTTGTGTTCACTGGTAATTCTGCAGTTGTCGGTGGCATTTCTGGACGAGTTGTAGATGGTGGTCGATTCAAAAGTTTTTTGAAGTGGTCAGCCCATCGTTACCTTCGCTCCTTCTTTTCAGTAACTACGTTTCCTTCACCATCTCTCATTGCTTTCATCTGCGTTGATCTCTCCCCTCCCAGACAGTAACCCGGTTATTTGATATAGCGTTGTCAGGTCTCTCCTACCAGCAGCCTGTTCTGCTTCACTTGCTCCACTGTGTCGTGGAAGTGTCTTCTGTCCTTCTGTGCACTCTCCTTCACTTCTTTGTCCAGTCAGTGTTTTATAGGTTGTACTCAGTCCCTCTTTTCGTTGTTCATCCCTACACTGCACTGGTTCATCTACTGCTTCACCATTTTCATCTCCCTGCTCTATCTGCTTCCACGTGCCCATGGAGATCCATTCCTTGTCTTCTTTCTTCTTCCTTCCTAATAAGGTTATGCAGGTTTCCTTCCACGTCTCTTTCAAAAAGTTCCAGTGTTCTTCCACACAGGCTTCCTCGAGGATGTTGTTCGATGTCTCCCATTTTGTCCTGATGCCTGACGTGAAGATGTCATTTGTAGTGTCGTCCTTCAGTTTCTGGGTGTTGAACTTGAACTGTGGTCTATCACCAGCTTCTTTCAATGCCTTCAACTTGATTTTGAAGGTTCCTCGCACTAGATAGTGGTGTCAACCTACATATCTGCTTCCTTTTTTGATCTTGTGTTAGTTGGATTAGCTACCACTTATTTATCATTAGCAGAATAAGATCAGGTTTTAGTTTACAGATTGATATTGCACAAAATGAGAAAGTGAATGAAAAGAATGCTTCAGGAAACACTATTGATGATGTAGTTAATGTGAAATTCATCAGAAAAATAATCAACTTCTTCTCGGCGATTGATGTGTGTGTAATCCATGTGGTAAAGTAATTGGAATCTGATGAATGATGTTGAAAGCTTTTCTAATATCCACTTGATTTCCCATGTCAACTAGTCGTGTAAGTATGGAGCTACTTACTGTTCGAATTTGTTACTTGCTCAATTATGATGGATGGTGCTCAGAAATTCGATGATAGAACTGCCTCATTGTACACCCAACGTACAATTAGAACAATAAATAGCTCCATACTTATACACCTAGTTGATGCAGAACATCAAGTGTATATTAGAAAAGCTTTGAACATCATTCATCACATTCCAATTAATTTACCACAAGGATTACACACTCACTTACTTCACATAGCAGAGGTGGTTGCAATCCACCTTCACAAACAAACCTAACCTTTGTATTCAAAAGAAGTTTGTTTAATGACTTTCATTACCATAGCCGTCCAAATGATGCAACTTCTTGGATTACTTCGTACACCTCTTCCCCTTCTTGTTTCTATCAACTTGTTCATATCATTTGTTTTCTTATTACTATGTAATCGTTTATTGTGAATGACTGAACACTCATGAAAAATCATTCCATTTACCTGAGAATGGCCTACTTCATATTACCAATTTTAATAACTCTATTGATTATTTACATTATTATTCCTGAAAGATCATCTTCGTGACTTACTTAAAATATATGATTGTTGTTCGTCAACCTCCCAGCACTTGGTTTGTAATTGGATTTAATTGACGAGCAATATATTAGTGTAGGGGCCAAGGGAAAACCTAATTGAAAAGGAATATATTTCTTCACTTTACCAGTCTTTCTCTAAACATCTGGATACGTTGGCTGTTTGCTCGTTTTGCCGTGGAGCTGTGGCTCACTGGTTTAGGGGCTTGTCTTGCAACTATTGTGTCGTTGGTTCGGAACCCGCTTCGCCTGTAGAGGTGTTGGCAGTAAGGTGATATCACTAGCCCTCACCCAACTGGTGTAGCTCAGTGCCAGCTGCGTATGTATGCACAAGGTGATTGAGAGCCTTTCGTTTGGGTTTTTGTTTTACTGTCACATGCCTGTGAAATCGTTGACCGTTATATTGTCATGCTTATTACCTTTCCTAGTTACTCTATTACTGAGTGTTGAGTGATAAATTTCATGTTGTTTTGTATCCAACTGTGCATTTTAGGTCTCAGTTACAATCAACAGTTATGAGGATTCTTTCGGACGCATTGCAACCAAAAGCCGAAGACGTTAAAATGGATTGGAAGTTAGTAGAGAAATTTTCTGATGGAAAGGAGAAAGCGATAGAAGTAGTAACTGTCCCTAAACAAATTGCTCCAATATTTTCTGGTCACTTCTTGACTTGTTTCGGTTTCTTCAAATCTGGTTAGTGTTGTATTTAACAATTTTTCTGCGTTTGTATCATTGATAAGTTCATTCCACATTACTTTGCATTTCATCTGGTGTTTCAGTGATGTGATGGTATTTGCGCGTAGTTTAGTTACTTATCATTGTAAATGTAAAAATGGTCATTAACAGTTTCGTAGGCATGTGTTGAAGTCTGTGTTACTTACTAGTGACTGCGATTAGACGATTAGAATATCGTTTGCTTCATTGCATACTGCCTTTTCGCTGTATGTAAACTACTAACAAGTAGTAGTTTAATGGGATGAATCACAAGTATGATTAAGATATTCGTTTAGTGATGATGATGATGATGATAAGTCACACAAGTGAGTTAAAACATGTTAGTGCAATGGAGAATAAGGGTGTGTACTGCACGTTTGGAGAGTTATTTTATAGATGTCAGCAAAAGATATGTCTTATAACCATTAAACTTTGCTGCTGATAATTAGATCAATAAATCTACAGGTGAGCTATCAATGAAACCCGTGTACGTAAATTTTTGAGGATAGGAGGTTAGTTTAGTGCGTTCAATTATGTGAAGTTTGATTGAGACATTGTCCACAGCGTTGCCTAATTGTTCCCACTTATCATTGTGTTCTGTAAACTTGTATTGGACTTCAGAAGATACATTACGGTGTTGATATGAAATTGGAACGCGATGAGGATGGATGATAATTTTTTATTTTAGGCTATTGAAATTAAACCACATTAATGTAACCTGCAAACGATTTCTATATATTGAGTTAGATGTCGGATAGCCTGTCTATTCACCAAATTTCATTAAGTTGAATGATATCATTTTCATTCAAAAGTATGGCATGCATCCATTACGGAAATTGTTCAAGTTAACTGGCTTATATTCATCACTTTCTTCATCTTTCTGTTTATTATAATAGATAAATCTTCAACTATTCATGGGCAAGTAAATTTGAATTATAGTTTATCAGGTGAACAAAAGTCATTGACATTGAACATGTCAAATGCAGTTTTTGTTTCAAAAGACAACTCAAATTCATATGAAAGTTTACCTATTCATCGACTAGCAGGAAATAAACAAATCAATGAACTTGTAGATGAGTACCATAGTATACAAATAGCTAAACAAGAGAAAGCATATGAATCAGAGCTGAAATCAATTCGTCAACAGGTGGAGGATTTATCATGCCATCTTAATATACTGACGAAATTCACTGCTTTGGTTGCAGTAGATCCAACGAAGTTAGGTGAGTAAAATGTGATTGATTACTTTTGATATTTTCAGTTGTGTGTTCATTCACTTTCTGGGTATGTTGAAGTAATGACTTTGTATCAGTAAGACTAACTGTAGAGAATTTGATTAAGACTGAGTTCTACCCAATGTTATATGGTTTTTTCGTTATTTAAGAATTGTTCATTTCTGAAGCACGTATAAGTTGAAGACTTACATGTGTTGTCAGAATTTTCTAGTATAGGTGGTTACCATAAAATTAATGTATTTTAGTCAGCTGAGATAAATTTATTCTGGATTGATTTCTACGATATCGATTATATTTTAAGGAATATGTTAGGATGGCTTTCTCTTTTGACACTGTTACATTGCAAATAAACTTCTACCTGACGACAATCGGTCATTGAAGATTGATCACAGTGTCTGGTAACATGAGTTGAGGATTTCAAACCACTGTTATTTATTGGCTAAGGTTCTAATGAGGAGTTTTCTACTGTCGTTTTCTGGCTCATGACTACCACTGTGGTAATATTCATGGGGTTATATTGAACCCCAATTCAAAAACGTATAGATTATTGCTCTGGGGTATTAATCTGGTCTGTTCTAGGCAATCTACAGTATAATAGCGCTCATGAAAGTCAAAGTTAAAGGATGATGATAATAATGAAGTTTATCTTCTCTCAAATTCTAAATATATCCTACTCAGAGTATTTGTTAGACGTCAACTTGCATTTCGAATGTTTGTGTATTGCTAGATTATCGTGAATAATCGTCTCACCTTTTTGCTTTCACTATAATGTCCCTCAGTCACTTGTTGCTTTTGTAAAGCTTTACGTTATCGTTTCGATTCTCCAAGTAGTTTATTTAACAAGCTTATTGTTCGTTGCAGAATACAACTTTTGCGTTCATACCTCTTGTGTAATTCACAGATAGTATGTCCATGCAGTTTGCAAAATAGGCTCCTTGATTCGTTACACTGGTAAACTTCTACATTAGAATACGTTTTATTTGAGGGACTCTAGTCTCAGATATGAGCATATCGCTTCCGAAGCATGTGTAAGTGCGCGTGTAAGGGCATACGAGTTGCTTTTTGTCGTCAACGTATCGGTCCTCATAAACAATTCGTTGTCAGCAAACTGACTTCACCAAATAATGCAAGTGAATAACGAACCGAATTACTTCTGTGGCTAGATGTCGTTGTACTGTTAGATGATAACATTTAATAACCGAGTAATGAGTAAAGTTAGTGTCCGTATATGGTTTCCGTGGGAAACACGAAACACCTTCAGAGAAGTGTATGTTTGATGAAGAGAAGTTAGTTTGATAAAAACCATGCTACTAATTACCACAGCTTTCGAAACCTATTCCGAACTCAACATTCTAAACTCAATAAAAGTTATAGCTTGATGTCGATAACCCAGTGATTCGAAGACATCAGACAATTCCATATATTTGACCAGTTTCGTGTGCTTTGCATTCTCTCCATTGTTTGGTGGTAAGGCCGAGCTAGTCACCATGAGTCTCCGTTGCTTGATCTTAGGCGTGGTGAGAATAATTGTATAGTTGGTGAAACAGACTGACGTGTAACACGCACTTAGTTCTGTTATTTTGACTAATTTTAACCTTGCCAATTTATTATCCTTCATAGTGAACATGATTTGATGGGTGATATGAATTTCTGGGGTAGGCGAACAGGTGAAAATTCGATGAGAGAGACGACAATGATGCCGTATGACATCATTTGATATATCCCAATTGCATAGGTGACATGAAATAGGTGACGGAACTCAGTGATTTCAGAGCTGATGATTCGTCGTGAAATTTACTTGAGTAATAATCTGGATGTAACCATTCCTTGTCATATAGTGAACAAGGTGGAAGCTGATATGGAATGCAAAACTAAATATTTGTTAGTATTAGAATACAACCTTAGCATTTTTGAATAAGGTATTCTACGTGAATGAGTGCCAATGTAACATTAAAATAGATGATGTACTTGTGTGGATGAATAAAATGTGCACAACACACAGTGAGTTATAAATGTACATGAAAGGCATTCAAAGTCTGTAATGATGAGCAACGCAGTTCATATGATTATTATCAGTCGTATGATTATTACTCTTCAGTGGTGTGTGGCAGTAATTAACGCGTGTTTAAACACGCGTTAAGACTGAGACTGATCATAGGATGATACTATCAAATATCTTCTGAGTGAGTTGTCTTCTCAATTATATATACTGTGTCTGAGTGGAATCCACTTAGTTTCTAAGTCGATTTTTTTTATACAAGGTATATGAATTGAATTTCAAGGCTCAGTGGACTCATTGAAGCGAAATACTTTGCAGAGGAAAATGAAATTTTAAATGATATACTATTAGTCATAGACGGAATTAGAAAAGCTATCGATTTCTTGTTGAGATTTATCAACTCGGTTGAAATAAAAGTACTTCTTGATGAGAGGTTGAACTTTAGTGTAAAAGTGGATCAGGTGAAATTTAAGGAAGCGGTATTGAGCAAAAATAGACGAATGATCAATTTCATACAATTAGTTCATCATATAATTTTTCTGCAAAGTAAAAACAACAAATATTGCAAGATGAATCCCTGTATTGATTGATTAGGTTGTGAACTTTGTTATTTATGTTTCTTCCCATATATATATATATATATATATATATATATATATATATATATATATATATATATATATATAGTGATGTTTGAATGCAGCAATATACTTAAAGTTGATTTTACTACTGAAATGCATCAAATGACTTAACTGAATGCTAATATAGAAGTAGTATTCATCATGGACTGACATCAGTTGGGAACCATTGAAAATCTGGGAGCACTGGACAGCTGTTTCGTCCTAGTATGGGACTCCTCAGCAGTACGTACCCACGACCCGGCTAGGGGTCGAACCCAGGACCTTCAGGTTTCACGGTGAACTCGCTAACCATTCAGCCACTAGGTCGGTTTCCAGTGGTTCACAATTTCCAACATCTGAATGCTAATATCTTTGTGTAGACCATGTTAAATTTAGTCTCTATGTGGAAGATATGAAGCACACGAAATGAATTCGACTCATTCAACAATGTTTTCCGTTCTTGCTTTCCAAAAAAAAACAGTGAAGAGGTTTGAGAACAATGCTCTGTAGCAACAAAACAACATAAAATATCAAAACAAAATGTACTAAAATTAGACATATTCGGTATCAAGAATCTAAACGATGAAGACCGCAAAGTCATCAACAGACCCCACGAAATTAATTCACCGGTGAATGCAACAAACTAAATTAGTTCTTCCTGGATCATATTTTATCCCCATCGATATCGTGCTGCTTCATAGGCTGTTCACATATTCATAGGATTTTCCAACAGTCAGTAGACTTGTTTCATTTATATCTGGGGTGTATTGATATAAAGACGCGTGTGTTGCATTTAACAGGTAACACCTTAGAAGTTCAAAGCGGATATTGTAATGCATAATGATTTCTTTATGTGCTACTGTCACTGGTTGCTATCGATTTTAGCATAATGTCAAGATTGGTATTGCTTTCAAAGCAATTTATGTGTTACATCTTTTGCATGTGAGATATTTATTGAAGTAGTCTTAGTAACTGGTAGTATTCGTTTGTTTAACTTGGTTTCAGATATTGACCCCAACGCTGAAAGAGTTAAGATGTTCATACAGCCGATGCATCGACAGAAAACTGGTTAGTTGATTGTGTTTCTCTGTCTGTTTGGTGAATGATATAACTACAATTGGTAACAAACAACATTATTGTTCATGCACTTACGTCGAGAGTGAGTAAAGTATTTCAGTTTGTGATGGTTGTTGGACATTATTTGTGAGTTGTTTTTGTCCCGTTGATAATGGAATGCTTAGTAGATGTTCGTGAGGATGCTTGGATCACTTGGTTTCCCGAGTCAATAGCGTGATGGGATGTGATGTGGATATTCCTGTTGATCTAAGCACTTTCCACAATAAACTTCATGATTTACCGTTGTTGTTAGTTGGTTATCGATTATCTGTGCCATCTGAGAACCAATTTTCATGAGAATGCATAAGGTTATTTGAGAGGGATTTGAGTGACGACTAGTTCATTGATCTTTATGTTTCTATTTCCTCGTTATTGTGATGTGCGGATGAAGTAAACGGTAACAGATTGAATGGTCAAGTGTTCATTTGTATACACATTTATACGAGTAACTGAATGACTCATAGACTATTTTGCGTTGTCCATGATGACTTTGATGTTTTAGGAAAACTGACAATGGTCTACACTTAAGTGGATTTGCGATTGTACTTGATATTAGTTTTTTCACATCATAACTTCGTCATATTTGTTAGCTTTTTCATGGTCCACTTCGAGCTCCTACTCCTGACGCCTGCCAGTATTCCAATCATATTATTGTCCAACCTAACGTTTGTTCTTTAGTTGATGTATCCATTATGCTTGATATCATAAATCCACACCTCGAAAGTTACAGTCTCTGTTTGTTAACCCATTTTTTATCTTTTGCTATGTTATTCATATATTCAATTTGGTTAGAATTCTTTGCAGCGTTGCTATTGGGACTTTGTAGAACCCCATCAGAGAGGTTGAATTTTTCAGTTCAAATGGCGATCACGTTTCAGATTGTATATTGCATCTGAAGGTGAATAAGTTAAGAAGTGTTCAGCCTAGTATACTGTAAACATTTCTCGCTCTCTCAGGATTTATCGACAAGGTCGATGTATCGTGTTTCAATGTAGGTGGGTTTCTTGCTTGTGTGTCCTTTCCAACGTGGTATAGCTGCAACCCCGTGTCAACTCTGGCTCCTGTGGGGACTAGAATGTGTTCACGTTCCCAACTTGTATTCAGCAACATTTATATTGATTGGCCGGGTCACTGTGCATCGTGATCCGGAATACGTAGCATCTCAGTTTCGTATGAATTGTCCATTCGGTGAAATTCGATCACCGTCCTCACTATCGTTTACAGTGCTGACAGGATCACTATCTAGGTATTTATTTAGTTTGTATTCAAATACTGTTACGTTTGACAATATTTGTTTATTTGCTCGCATGTAGACGGAATTGTCATCTACTGTTTTTGTCTTTCTTAGCTTGCTTTTCAGCAGTGCCAATGCCAGTAGCAGCGAGATGCGGATTGGACTTAGTGGATTCACGTGAGAATGTTTTATCATTTTTTTTCATGAATGTGTTTGGCTTTAAAATTGAGCTACGGAACTTGATCCCACTTTCCTAAAAATCGCTTCTGCGCATAGTGTTTGAAGTATTGCATCTGTGTTGTGGTGTTTTGTGTGTAGCCCAAGTACCTCATTCGATTGAATCAGCTTTTCTGACTGCACATTTATACTCGAGTATTGCCGTTCACTGTACGATGGGGGTTGAATGCTGCATTGATCAGTTTGCTTAATTTCGATCAATCTTTTGTCATTCTACAGCAATCAGATGCTTCATTCTACACGTGTATATTCCAGAACACAGTGAAAGCTGGAAGTCAATAGACTGGAAATGTTGTGGGTTCGCTGTCCTAGTTACTGAGTGTACTCATCAGCCGGGTGTTAAGAATGTGAATGATGAAGCGTATGAAAACGTCTTAACTACTTTGAGTCATGCTCTTGCCATTTCAGACCAGGTCGTTTTAAGTGAAAATGGGGAGAAGAAGAACATAAGACTTGGGTAGTGACTGTGTATGCAAATGTCCGATAGACAGCTTCCAATAATCATAATATCTTCTGATGAGGGAGGGACTTAATGACTATAGTCAGTTGGGATGGTGTAATATGACGTATAATCTACCTCATTCATATGTATGTCAGGCTGTACCATGTAATGAGCCGAAAGTTATATTAGTGGTAACAGTCTGATTCTGTGTATTATATCATTGTGTTGTTGATAAATTTTGCGCACATGAATTAAAAGAACTTTGCGGTGGATATGAATAAGTCATTTTCTATTAGTTACCGAATTCCCATCAACTTGGCAAAATGCACCTGTCTATGAATCCTTTAAACTTCAGAAGCGGTGGCAACCAGCATTAAGAAACTTAGGTAATCTCTTGATAGGAAACAGCTTTTGCCATACGACTACCTTGGCTACATTTAGAATTGACCAATTCCTTAGCATCCTACGCCATGTAACCTAATTCACAACTTCGACATTGTAAATATCGCCTTGCCCGTACAAACTGAAATAATTTCGTCACATTCTTGTAGCCTGTTTTGTTCCTTGGCATAAGTAACATTTTATTAAACTGCTATTCCTCAATTTACCTGTGTTTGTTTATTACATCCTACTTCCAAGCATATCTTCATAATTTTCTATTAAAGTATCACTTTATAAGCCGTATAATCATTTGGTTAATCAGCTGTTTTGAATTGAATTCCAGTAATGATTGATTCTGATATTAACGTTCACATAAAACTTTCTTGAAGAGAATTCCTCAACTGTATAATATTATTGACAAACTGTTCAACGAAATCTCAATATTTTTGACGCAAACTTAGACAACATGAACATATAACTGTAGGACCTGAAGAAGCTGTTGTTCATTCAAATAGCTTTTTCATAATAATAGGAATTTTTAAGGAGCTCATATTGTACACGACAAATTTACCGATCATTTTTGAGGGAGTTGTGGAGATTTGGAATTATTTCAAGTTGTTATTCATCGTAGACTGACATCAGTTGGAGGAACAAAGGAAACCTGGGAGCACTGGACAGCTGTTTCGTCCTAGTATGGGACTCCTCAGCAGTGCGCACCCACGACCCCACCAGCAGGGATCGAACCCGCGACCTTCAGGTTCCGCGGCCAGCGCGTTACCATTGAACCACTGGGTCGGAATCCAATGCTCCATATTTCCAACTTCTGTTAGCTCACGATATATAGCACAACCGCCACCCAATGTCATCGCTGAGTATTTGTCCTCATGGTCATCAGGCTTTGACTCCACCGGTCACGACTTCTCATTGGAACTTCGGGAATACTTCTGGAAACTAGTCACCAATGAGCACCAGTTCAATTAAATTTTGAGGGAGTTGTGGAGATTTGGAATTATTTCAAGTTGTTATTCATCGTAGACTGACATCAGTTGTGGTTGCGCTATATATCGTGAGCTAACAGAAGTTGGAAATATGGAGCATTGGATTCCGACCCAGTGGCTCAATGGTAACGCGCTGGCCGCGGAACCTGAAGGTCGCGGGTTCGATCCCTGCTGGTGGGGTCGTGGGTGCGCACTGCTGAGGAGTCCCATACTAGGACGAAACAGGTGTCCAGTGCTCCCAGGTTTCCTTTGTTCCTCCAACTGATGTCAGTCTACGATGAATAAAAACTTGAAATAATTCCAAATCTCCACAACTCCCTCAAAATTTAATTGAACTGGTGCTCATTGGTGACTAGTTTCGAGAAGTATTCCCGAAGTTCCAATGACAAGTCGATCATTTTTGTTATGATTTTAAACAAACTGTGTTGAATTTATTCGATAGATTCGGACAACTTACTAGAAAGTGTGTGGATAGTGTCTGAAAATGATTCTAATTAAAATCATTGTTGGTACAGTTATCCTTGTTTATCAGACAATTTCAGTTAATTGCAACTGTTCATTAGTTTACGTTTAGATTTTTGACTAGTTGTTAGTTTCCGGTTGATTGCATTTCTGGTGAACCTGATTGTTGTATAGAAGGATTACTAATGTTACAAGCATTATAATCAATTTCTTCTGTCGCATACTAATTTACTTTTTTTTCATCACTAATTCATTATCCTCATACAGCATTGTGTAGGGTGGAATCTTGTATTGAAGGAAACTCCGGTAAGTTCCTATCGTTTTCATATTTCAATGATGTTGTCTTCTGAATTTAAGGATTAACAAGTATTTTAATTGATTTTCTCAGATGAATCAGTAATCAGTTGAACTATTTGTCTTCCACACACTAGTAAGTTCAGGGTACAACTTGACATTATTCTAGTCAGGGATGTTCGCACTGCATATTTTTGGAGTAGCAAAAAACTCAGTTTTGTGGGGGTGAATGAGACTTTTAGCCGAGTGACGTGTTAGTCACTCTATTGTTGTGATTCGTAGGCATTGCAGGCGACGTAAATGACACTATATGTTTCCTGTTTGGTTGCAGAATGTGAATGTAACGGTGAAGTGTAAAAGTTTGAAGCCTGATTTGTGGTATAGATACGGGTTGTGATTTCCTAATTCTTATGTTTTTGGAATGAAAATTAATCCGCAACTGGGGAGTCCAACAGGTAGTACTGCTGACTGATGGCGGGAGAACAAGGATGGTAATTGTAACAGTAGGCACATTTCCTCAGTCAGTATGAAAACAGGTCATACAACTAGGCCAGCAAACACTTCACAAGATAGTTCATACAGGCTCAGTCACATAGTATTAAATACCTGTATTCACACTAATATAGTTACAGAATCGTGGATTCGATTGTACTTAGATGACAACCGATAGGATAGTAGTATTTTTCACTATAATGGAACACCAATAACCACTGGGAATGTCGTTAGATGTGAACTCTTGCATACATCAGATATGTGTCTAAACAGTCAGTCACAACTTGTCACAGACATCCGGAGTTTGGTGACATATCGAGTCAGCAGATATCTGTTCAGTGAGAACCGTATATTGGGAAGCAGTGAACTGTATATGGGGATTCGTTAAGATGACGTCCTAAGGTGGGATGGGCACAAGCAGTGAATGTTTCACGCATACGCTGGATCACTTGAGTGCTGAGTTGACTGATGTGAGGTTCGAATAACACGAAGGTGAGGTGATAAAATAGCTTTGATTGAATTGTGCAACCGCATATTGTTCCTACCTTAGGGAATGAATATGGTGTAGGGTTATGAGTGTGTGTACTGGAAACGACGTTAGGATGTATTCATTTTCTATAAAAACTAGTTAATCGTCTGTGTACTGCATCCTATTGAGTAATTGGTAACACTAGTATTGATTATGAAATTCTCATTTATGACTTGTTTCTATTGATTTTACTCTTTATTGTTTCAGCTGCATCGGTTTGTTTCACTGGTTCATTGGGTTTCGATATGAGTGAATCTAATACAGGTATCATAACTTTGAATATTACTAGGTGTTACTGTTTTTGATTGATTATTTTTTTTTTTTACTTCTGTTGAATGACAAGTAAATAGAGAAATCTAAAAGTTCAGTTAATCAAGATGATCTTTTCAACCAGTAACTTAGTATTGTGGATTTTATGCTATGTTGCTGTACTCCTTTGCAAGTGTGAAATTTAATTTACTGAATTGATAACTGGTTGTTTCACAATACCCTACATTTCAATAACAGAAACCTACTTGTGCATAATATTGACTATACGTTCAAGTTAACGTGTAAACTAACCAATGTAAGACATGAAGCATAATAAAACCTGTTTTGGTATTTTTGAGGTCAAAGCAGTTCATACAATGTGAACATGCATGTGAGATGAATAGTTATTCTAGTTTATTTTAATATAATTCTATTTCAATTGAAGTACAAGTACTCATTGTTAACTTAGATTGCTACAAGTTTGTTCAAGTTTGCTTCCTGAGTGTGCTTCTTGTCATCATATGCTTGATAATAATATAAATTAATTTCATTTTTCGCATTGATTTTTTTCATCATAGATTTTGATAGGTTTGAAGTGTCAGTAGTTCGTGAGTGAAGTACACAACTGTCTTCCTTCATCATAAGATTGATCAATGCACAACTGACTATGTAGTATTATGGTGATCTATCATGTGAGTGAACTACGAAGATGAGGCAAGTATATAGCCAATTTAGCGATGCTTCAGAAATCTTTTGAAGCATAGAGAGTATGATGTGAGTGAAAAACTTGAAAATCGTTCAGTGATTAATATTCAGTAAGTAATTAATAGAGAGATGATGCAATCAAATGAAAAGGGAAGACTATATATATTCATGTGCAAAAAATTATATACATTTACCAAGGTAAAGAAAGGTTAATTAAAATCTATTACTGAGTACATAGGTCAGGTTGAAAATGTTTGATAGTGAGAGATTCCGCAAATCCTAACAAACACAATGTCCTTTGTTTGTTGCTTATCCTGAAGTACTGAGAAACATCTATTTGATGTCCTGTTTCCAACAGATGCCTGGCGATTGGGCTTTTAAACACTTTTTTTTACCATTCAGACACAGATTCCTCAGAATATGTTCTAAAGATAAACAAGAAGAAGAATTCGGGATAATTGAGAAGGCTCTTATAGAGAATGGATGTCCGAAGAAATTCACTATGAAGAAGAGCTTATTGAGAGACCAAAACATTACACTCATAAAATCAAGTAGATGCCCTTCTTTCGGTCCATCCTATCTACTTGCTTGCACAAGCACACATGAATTGATATACGCAGTTGGAGGTGACGTGAGATGGGTATTTGTCTACTTTCGACTGTGTTATTGAGCATAATGTACTGTAAACTGAGATCAGTCTGACAGCAGAGGGGCTACTCAGTGCAGCTTTTATTCTTTTGTCTATTCTTTCAGATGTCTCATCATCTTTGAATGCTAGGCGAAAGAAAACAGGCTTCTTCTCAACAGTTAGATGTTTTAGTCTCTCAATAAGTTCTTTTCCATGCTTCATGACCAATTTCTTCGGATATCCATTCTCTATAAGAACCTTCTCAATTATCCCAAATTCTTCTTCATGTTTACTTTTAGAGGATAGCCTTTTTATTCTAGTGAATAGCGTCCTGACTAAACCACGCTTATAGCTGATAGGACAGAAGCTATTGTAGTAAAGGTACTGACCAATCCACGTGTCTTTTCTATGGATAGTTTTCTCAACTGTACCATCACTTCTCCGTCCTATACTTAGATCCAAAAAATTGAATCTGTCCTCATTTTCATATTTCATTGTAAAGTTAATATTTGGATGAGCTTGATTGAAGGTGTCAAACAACTTTGACGCATGATTCATATTATCCCAAACGATAAAAGTATCATATACATACCTGCAGTAATGTGTCGTTTCCTTGATCGTAGGGTTCAGACTTAAACTCATTCTGCATATGTTTTTGTTCTTGCATTGTTTATATTTGTCAAGGGAACTAAATGTATGGCAGCAAACTTTATTTTCCTCATTCCCTGAAATTTCATTTTCAAGTGATCATTTCAGTGGTTTACTTGTTGTTATATACATATCTACCCCTTGGCAGTTGCTTCAACACTACGGAATACCACAAACCTTTATCAGCCTCACTCAACAACTATATGAAGACGCCACATGCCAAGTAATTCACAATGGGAAGCTCAGTGATGCTTTTGAAGTGAAGACAGGAGTGAAACAAGGTTGCTTACTATCACCCAGGGTATTTCTGATTGTGGTCGTCTGGACTGGATCATGCAACAAACAGTGGGGAACGAGAAGAGGGGATACGCTAGACTGCGGAAAGGAACCTAGAAGACTTGGATTTCGCCGATGACTTGTGTCTGGTGTCACACAAACTTGAAGATCTACAGGCGAAAACTAACAAGTTGACAGAAGAGGCAGGGCAGTGCAGCGAAGACGGGACTTCAAGTGAATATAGAGAAGACAGAGGAGATGAAGATACCCAACCAACAGCACCACCACCAATAACAGAAAGCTCCAATCACCATGAACGGGAGAAACTTAAAGGAAGTAGCCTCCTTCACCTATCTAGGCAGCACCATTTCAACTACAGGCGGTGGAGGCACAGACGAGGACGTCAATGCAAGCCAGGATCGGAAAAGCAAGACAGGCGTTCATTAGCCTGAAACCAGTGTGGAGATCTTCTGCACTCAGCTCAGCATGTGGAACAAGATCCGGATTTTCAACACCAACGTGAAGTCAGTGCTTCTGTATGACTCAGAGACTTGACGCGTTACGAAAGGGATTTCCAACAAACTACAGACATTCATCAACAACTGCCTATGATGGCTCGTTACTGGAGATCGGATGAGATGGCCAGAAAGAATAAGCAACAAGGAACTCTGGTTGGCTGACAACGAGCCAATGAAGCAAGAACCCATCGCTGAACAAATATACACTGGGAGGAAGTGGAGATGGATTGGACATACACTGAGAAGGCCGACTGGGGACATCAAGCACCCGGCTAGGCCGTTGAGTGGAACTCAGATGGAAGTGACGAGTTGGGCGTCTGAGTTGAGGGTGACATGGAGGAGATCGTGCGGGGAGGAAATGAGAGCTTGTGGGGTGTCGTGGAACCAGGTTCAAAAGATTTCAGAGAAGAGAGTGGAATGGAGACGTGCTACTGAAGCCCTATGTTCCATTAGGAACCCAAGGGACAAATAATAATATATAATAACATATCTACCCGCCGTCGCTGTTTCTGTGAAGGTGTAGCGTATTTGAGTTTTACTGTGTTCGTGCTATGAGTGTCAAAATGAATTGAATTTTGAGGATCCTTGTTAGCATGTGAAGCTTTTTCTAATTTACGAAGAGCATAAAAGTAGTAGAAAAATTGAGATGCTTCACATTGTTTTTTGTAATGACTTGTGTTGAGGATTAGCAGTGGACTGGTCATCCGCGCCTTTGCGACACTGTGAGAATTTTTTTCAAGTTTGTAGTACCATTTATGCTTTGATGTTTGATGTCCACATGTTGAAATTTATAATTCATGGAAATTGAAATTTGATGCAGTTATTTTGAGTTTTGGATAACTGAAATTACTGAAAATTGAATTGTTCGGTAAAGGGAACAGAAATGGTGTCAATTGTTTATTGTTTTATGCATATGTCGACATTGGGAACGAACCAACCAAGAACCTATCACGCAACAAATATGCAGGAGGAAGTTGAGATGGATTGGGCATGCACTGAGAAGGCCGACTGGGGACATCAAGCACCCGGCTAGGCCGTTGAGTGGAACCCCTATTGGAAGTGACGAGTTGGGCGTCTGAGCTGAGGGTGACATGGAGGAGGTCGTGCGAGGAGGAAATGAGAGCTTGTGGGGTGTCGTGGAACCAGTTTCAAAAGATCTCAGAGAATAGAGGTCACTGGAGACATGCTACTGAAGCCCTATGTTCCACTAGGAACCCAAGGGACTAATAATGATAATAATAATAATAGTAATAATAATAATATGTCGACATGCAAATTACTCATCAAAATATGCTTTATTGATTACTTTTCATTATCTAGGGGAATATGACGTTACTAATTCTTATAACCAGGTAGTTGATAAGGTGGAGAAACATATCCAACTTGCTGAGCTACAAAGTTTTACTGGACTGTGGAATTTCGATTCATCTCTTTGTGAATGCTTTGAATTGCCTATTAGTGATCTAACAGTGTATCTAAATGAACCAGGTAACTTGATTTTACACCTACTCATATGTTACCATATTTCATACAATTCTGTATGTTGATTAATTTGAATTGATTAAGAACAACAATTTAGAAGTAGTATAGTATGGGTCCATTTGATATCTAGATTTCTCGTTGTCCTCTTATATACTTAGAAAATTCCCAGATCAAAATATACAGAAGTATATGTATGTGTTAATAGACTTAGTAAAACATTATAGGCTAGGATAACAGAAAAAACATTTGTGTTATGTAATGGATACCAGAAAATTTACAGTAGTTGTAGTTACACAAAGTATTCATAACGTTGTCAATGTGTCGTGAGAGGTTTTTCGAATACTCCGGAAACACTATCATGACCAAAACAAGTAGTATTAAGTGGGAATTTAAGGTAAAGGTAAGCAGCTGCTTTTTTCGAAATATATATTTCTAGTTTGTTGACTTGGTAACTGGCTACTTCAAGGAAGAACAGTAAATATGCATCCACCTATGTATTAAGTAACGTCTAACTCCCCTGTCAATTGGTTGACGAGCAATCGAAGCTTATTTACCTCTCAGTGACTGATTTCTTAGGTCATTCTCAGCATTATGGCCACACACTATGGTTTCTTCTCTTCCAATGTTTGTGCTTTAACACTCAAAGGTAAGTTGGAGGTATCATGAAACTTCGTCTCAGTGAACAGTTTACTTGATGAAGAAAAACCAAGCTAGTATTTTGATAGATCCCTCTTATCGCAGTATTTTGATTTCAGTTAGTTCTTCTAGAGACCTACTCCGATTCGAAACTAAGATTTTCAAAAATAGGTATCCTTTTAACTCGGTCGCACTTCTCAATGTCAGTCTCAGTTGGTATTTTCTAGTACTTATCTACTAGTTTTTATGAAAATTTGTTTCCCATGAAATAGTTTTTTTGATAGCGACTACTTCTTTTTCAAAACAGTTTTACGAGCTAAAACTACGTATGATATCTAAAAGTATGTTCACCAGCCAGCCATCATGAACTGTTAAAACTAGCGTACATTCTGCTTTAAGAACCGTTACGAGGAATGAATTTTTGTGAGTTACCGTGTTTAATTCGCTGATTTCTAGTATCGAGTAAACAGAAATTCTTATTCTATATTCAATCACTTGTGACTGTTCCTATGCTCTTTGTGCAGTAATTATGTTATGTTTATGATTCCAAGAGATAATGAATATGATTGGTTTTTTTAAAACTACTGAAATAACCAAATAAGTCCTTTTATTTCACAAAAACCTACCTTCGCAGTTAAAAATGCCATGAGTTCTCGCATGCTTCAAAGAAATCAGTAAAAAATATGACGTGAAGCGAAAGTAATTTCTTTTCAAATTGAATTGGACACAAAGTAACTAAGTTATATTTGTACATTCCACAAGTTTCCATCATCATCATCATCATTATCAACATAGGACCAGGCATTACTGCGTAACGGTCCGAGTTGCCACACCTCATATCAGCACATCAAGTAAAAAGGTAGTGAGGTGAAGGATGAAGATAAGTGAATGCAGTCAAAAGAAATATAAAGTACGAGAAGAAAGGAAAGAGGAGTGACAAAATGGTGAGATTCGGTATAGCGTTGTTAAGATGAGGATAATGTGTGTATACATCTGCGCCACTGACTTCGGTTCTGAGCCATATCACCTAGGGTCTCCAACCACTGGTTCCTCTTGTCCCACCGACCCCAACCACCTAGTCTGCATCGCCCCACCACATGGCTTAAACCAACAGTCAGAGACTTCATACATTGGTGCCATGTTTTAGTCTGGCCACCTCGGGCCTTTTTCCAGCCTGGACCCACCTCAGCCAACATTGTGTGACGAGGCAATCGGTGACTAGGCATACGTAGTACGTGTCCCAACCAGCCATCTGAGTCGATGAAGGTTCACAACCTCGTCGACTGACTTACCTCTTCGCCCCAAAACTCTACACCTAACTTCTGCATTACTCACGTGGTGACACCACGGAATACGTCCTATACTACGAAGGCAACGGTGGTCAAACACCTGAAGCCTTTTTGTATCCTCCACTCTCAATGGCCATGTTTCACAACCATACAGTAGAACAGAGCGGACTGCTGTGCAGTACACGCGACCCTTAATTGATAAATGAATATCACGGCGGCGCCATAGGTGGCGCAAATTGGCAAAAGCCAATCGAGCCTTTTGTATCCGTGCAGAAATCTCATCGGCAACTGATCCACCGGAGTTGATCCTACTTCCCAGGTAAGTGAAGTGATCAACACACTCAACCACTTCACTCTCTATTGTTAACCGCGGTACCGCTGAAGACCAGTCCTGGAGCAAAAATTTGCATTTGGATGGTGAAAATCGCATCCCAAACATTCTCAAATTCCCACTCAAAGTGTTCAGAAGACTCTGCATCTTGTCAGCGTCTTCACCTAACAAGTTTCCAAGAATACCTGCAATCAGTTGATCTTTATTCGAATATTAGGATAGCTTTTACAAAGGTTTTTACTATTTTTCAAGTGGATGTTATCAATGAAGTGGATTAACTTGATTTGAGAAATACTATTGATCTCTCTAACAACATCATAGATACCGCCTTCTACTGGCACATTTGAAACAATGTCTTTGACACACTAGATTTCACATATAAAAAGTATCATGCAAAGTAGCATAAAATGGATTCATGTTATTCTGACTAATTGTTGTTACGTTAAAATTAGCAAACAAAATAACCTTAGCCTCTCTTAGAGTTTGTAATGCGTTTTCTAATTTCACTGCTGATAAGCTCATTCTTCTAAAGGTAAAGTCGATGAAGCAGCAGAGGTTTTTTATTGAGGAAACACAAACGTTGATGTTAAAAATTATCAAGCTTACAGTATGGATCCCGTTAACAATCTCTCTTAGTCCGCATCGCCCTTGCTTTTCACATTTGTATCCACTATTGTATGTTCTTTTTGCACAAAGTCTCACCAGTCAATAATTCACCGATCATACTAGTGTACAAGAACACGAAGAAATCTTCTTTTCAAAATCATAGGGGAATAAGTTTGACTTATATCGTGTCCAAGATCCTTGGGTCCATAGTTATCGGATGCCTAACTGGAATTCGAAAACACTAGACTAAAGAGAACCAGATGATAGGTTTCAGATATTTACGATGGTGCATCGATGAGGTTTTCATCCTTTGATATGTCCTGGAACACACGACAACTAGTGGTATCCACCACAGATACCCAGTGTTACCGTTCTTATTTAATTCCTTTATAGATGTATTAATGGAAATAATCTTAGATAATTATTCCGAGTTCACAGGAATCAATCTACTCCCTGGAGGCTATCTGTTTGACTTGGAGTATGCAAACGGTATTGTCCTGCTACGTGAAGAGGCTGATGCAGTTCAAGCTCTTCTGGATGCGTTGAGCAGAAATATGAGTATGTTTCGCATACATTTCGCTGGCACTTGTCAAATGTAAGGTGATACTCTTGGACTGGTATGCTTTAATTACTCCCGGCCTAATGATCGGGAGTGAAGTGGTGGAATGCGTCGACCACTTCTCCTACTCAGGGAGTTGCATTGGCCTGAACCGGCTGGCTGCTGACGAAATCTCAGGTCGGATGCAGAAGGCCCGTTTAGCATTTGCCAACTTGCGTCTTGTGTTGCGCCGACCGACAAGACATCCAACTGCCTGTTAAAGGACGACTATACTGTGCTGCAGTTCGTTCTGTCCTGCTTTATGGCTGTAAGACATGTTTGTTGAAAGCGGGAGACATGAAGCGGTTGCAGAATTTTGATCACTGATATCTTCGTAGCACTAATCGCGTCTGTTTGGATCGCTATGTGAGCATTGTCAGGTGAAGGGTACTAGGCATGACAGGCAAGTCGGTTGATTAGGTTGTGAACCTTAGTTGACTGAGATGGTTTGGGCGTGTACCACACATGCCGAACCGCCGCTTTTCCGACGTACCATGCTTGGATTAAGTACGATGAGGGTTCAGGGTGTCTAGACGAAGACCTGACACCAGTCGATAAGGTCTTTTATTGTTGATGTGGGTTGTGTGGGGAGACGTCGACTGCCTGGTTGGGGTCTTCGAGACGAAAGGAATCAGTGGTTGAGGACTGACTCTTAGTGACATGGCTGAAAATCAGTCACGTTGCCGCAGATATATTCACTGCTTGACATCTTGAACTTGAATATTTGCACAAACCGTTATATTCAGATTGTTTATTCTCTCACACTACTTTATCTACCTGTCCTTTGTGTATTACTTTGAAGTGTGACAATTCGAAATGATGCACCTGTGTTCGAGGTTGTTCGTTGATTTTCTCTGTCTGTCAGTTATGCTACTTAAAATAGTCGTAATGAGTGTTTTTATAAGGTGTTGATCATTAAAGTTGGTTAAAACGTTGTGCCGCAGATTCAAGTATCGGCTCACTCTGATCTTTAGTGAGGCTAAACAGGTTTCAGTCTTATTATTTCATCGAAACAAATGAAGCACTTCTTAGCATGGTCTCTGTTTGATTTCTTGTGCTAGTGAAATGTAATTCGCCTACTAATTATAAGAGTTTGAGCAAGTTAGATGACAGTCATCATAAAAAAACTCGGTTTTTTCATTCATCTCATGTTTTTTTCAGTTCTAGCGTATTGGTTGCTTTTTGTAAGATGATCTTATTTTTCTTTCGTTCTTTATTGAGCCACATTTACATTTTCATTCCAGGAAAATCCCCATTTCTGACGACAGCTACGTGGGGAACTGCTCTGACGATTGCATATTTGGAGTACTTTATGCCGGAGAAGAAGAATGAATGGTGTTTGTTAGTTGATAAGGCACGAAACTGGCTTTGTAGCGAAATACTAAGTCAACAAGTGGATTCGAGTAAGTCACGTGAGGTGTGCGATGAGCTCATTAAGAAGGCCAAAGACGCTTTGACCAAACTGCTGAAACAAGAGCCAGCTATTTAGTCTCGCCAACAAACTCCAACAATTATTTTGTGTGATTTCTCTCCCGATACTTCTTTTTATTTTCTTATCTGAAATCATGTACCATATTTTGAAATGCTTGATTTTGGAAGTCATTTATTTTTTTTGCTATTCTCTGATCATCATATGGCTGATTAAGTTAACGTGAACAATAGAATTTGTTTAACTTTGTGTACATTTATCATCGTTAGGTAGATGGTCTCAGGAGTTACTTATTCCTGTGTGTGTCAGAATGACTTTTCCGAATGATGTTGTGCCACACATTGACGATGAAGTAAGTGAAGTGTGCACAAGGATGTTAATTAATTGAATGACGCTCACTAGTTCCAAGGTTTTTTCTATTCGGTATTTTAACCACACGTTTCACCGTTGGAATTCGCGAGTTGATTTTTCGGTATTCTAACTCCATTGACTGCAGCAAATATGTTTCACTGACAAAGTTAACGTAAAACCTCGCTTTAGAAGATACGAAGCAGTGAATACATCTGCGCCATGGTGACTAGTTTCTAGCTATGTCAACCATTGATTACGTTCATCACGTCGACCTCAACCAGACATATGAGAGAATAATGTTTATTTGTTCCACGTGTATTGTTGTGTGTGTGTGTGTGTATGTAGTGCTGTCAGTAGTTAGAACAATGAAGTTAAAGATTAGTTCAGTGAAGAGGTTTTTACGATGACTTCATTCTGGAAGCTATACAGTCGTGAGTACGTAAGCTTTTTCCAGTAAAAATGTCCAACTTTTTAGTTGTTCATAGTAAGTTACTTTATTGTATTTAGAGGATATTGTAACAAACCGGATAACATTTTATAAGTCAGGGATAATAAAAGTAGCTGATGGCAATGAATATTAATCACAATTTAATAACTGAATGAAGATAATCTTTTGCTGGCCATGAGTTGAGTGACATGATGAAATACTTGGACAATGAATGGTTATCCGAAGTGCTCAGGAACACATAAGAGGTAAATAGTAAGGATTTGAAAGGAATAGACGTTGAAGAAGTCTCATTTGTATGTCAAGCTCTATATTCTCTATGTGGATAAAAAGGGCTTGAACAATAGAAAGCTGTCTACTTGGCAATAGCACTATGTTTGCTTACTTTAAGTTGTTCAAGTAGATTGTATCACAAAGTCCTTTAAGATGTTGACGACTGCTTTTCCAAGACTTTACATATAGAAATACTCCCATGAAATTACTGCATCTGTATTGTTTCATCTCTTGACTAGTTTCTTATGACTTGAAGATAAGATGTCATCGGTGAGCGATTGAAAGTATTTCTACAGCTGCCAGTCAGTTTGCAGATGATGGCCGTTATGAATTTTAGGAGATAAAGTCACTGTGACAGACCACTTGACTGTCTAATTACAATGAGATGAGTGTTAAATTTGACTAATGAAATGACCCCACGTGATAGATCCATCAATGTAATTGAGTTGGCGCCAGAAGAGAGTGAAGTGAGTTGAATACGGGTAAAGTGACTCAGTGAGGCATATAGGTTGTAACCTTTGACCCTAGACTGTCTTCTGTATTTGCTGCTCAGTACCTGTTTGTAATTGTTTTCACTTGATTCTTGAAGTGATCTGAATTCAGCAGTGTCTGAAATTCGGGGTATTATTCTGTCGACTGAAAAACTAGATTATGGTGTATTAGAATGTTAGTCACACTGTTTTAGAGTGATTAGTGAGCATGATTGTGTGAAATTTAAACTTCCTGTGCCATGTATTGACAAGAGTGTTTATGACTGTACTTCGGAGAATCGCTTTGTGTTGAATTGAATGGCTGGAGTTTAGATAGCAGATATTCGACATCCTTACCAAATTCCAAACAGCCGTAGTGAAACTGTCGGCAGTGAACGTAGTTCGAGATGAGATTCCTTCTTGATTTGTACCAGAAAGGTTGTTTCATATCCTAGCGTTACCTGGAACTGTGAAACAATAAAGAACTTACTGAATACAAATGATGATCCATCGTAGAATTTGGTTTATATGTCGTTGGTCGATTCAACGCACTACAATGAGTCGACCCGTCTTATTTTCGCCTGCTTATTCTAGAAAAGTGGAATTTTTCTCATTAAAATTGGTTCCACTGAAAGAGTTTTTATTTCACACCGTATAGTTCAGCAGCCATTATTCTTTCCAACTTTTCAATAAATCAGTAGTTGATAGACAGCCTTCATTGAACTAGATGATTTGTCTGTATCACAGTATGTTGAAGTGTAACTTTAATATGATGACAAGAATTTCTGACAATTTATCAGATTTTCCCAGTGACTACAGAGTGCTTGATAATCAGCATAGATTTCTGCATCTATCAAGTTGAGCTTTAGTTGCTTACTGGCTGATGAACGTTAGCTTCGGACATTCAGGAGTTTTGAAAAGCGTTTTCCTTGGTTTACTATGAATTCATGAATATGAAGGGGATTTTCGTATATCTTTTTTGATGACTGCAATGCTTTGATTCTACTACTGACTCCTGATTGTTAAGAAACTGTAAGCTGCTGGTTGCATTTCATTTATTCTCATATAATTGACTTCACTGTTATGTCTAAAGGCCGCTTTAAGGCATCACCTACGGAAGCAGACTGTGAAAATCTCAGGCAGATATCCGTTAAAAACATTCTACTTCATCAAATTGTTGTTTTATCTGTTAAAATTCAAGTTTTTTTTTTTATAACATTTGCTTCGTGTCACCACTTTTGTGTTATAAGTCGTCATCAGTTTTATCCGTGCATAACATTATACCCCTGCTACTGAATTCACTCAGTACTAAATCCGCCCAACAACTTTGCGTTACAAGGGTTAACTGCATTACCGCTGAACTTTTATTTGTGTTCACCTTGATAAGGGCAAACCTTATTTTTAATGTGCAGGAAAGGTGAAATATGAAACCTGTGCTGTCACAAATTAGGTCGGTTGCGGCGTGTAAATGTGTGTAATTGTTTTCTAAAGTGTATATATGTACGCAGCCACAGTCCTATCGTGTTCGAGATTGATAATGAAAGTCGCTGAACACTCTTAGTTGTGAGGCTAAATATATGAATGCAGAATGTCTTTCTAGACATCTCCCTTCTTAATTTCTGCGCTTCCAAACTGAGAGAAATACTCAGGAGTTATATAATAATATGCAGCCTTCCGAAGAACCTCATGTGTTATGTAGACTGAATTGTCAAAAGTACTCCATATGTGACAACCATAAAATTCAAATCATCATATAACGCAGCTGTTATGAATCTATCCCAAGTTCATCTTCACGATGACGATGATATCTTATGGACTATCTTAGGATGAATCTCTCTTCTGACATTAGTGCACCGTGCATAAAGTTTCTCGTGATGGAAATGGGACACTAGATACTGGCGACTGTAATTGACGACCCAAGTTACATCATATCTGTTTCATTGCCTGAGTAGTGACAATCCTCACCGTAATGCTGAGCCGAGCTTATCTTTTCACGAGACTCGGACCGAGCCAAGTGTGTTTGCGCTGAGCACTTAAACAATGCGATGCTCAACATGAAAGTGAAAGGTAGTTCCAATGGTTATTATGACAGAATAACACTCTGAGTTCCCCATAGCATTTTCATCAAGCGAAGACGAACAAACTTTGCAGAGTAAATTGAGCTCATTTTTATTTATTTCGCAGCCTCTTTTCGGCTGCGAACAGCCTGGAATTAGCTCAGAATTAATATGCGACAAAGCCAGCTAAGTACTTGTTTGTTGGATAACACAAGGCAAATGTTTACATTTAGCGGGGTACATACAACAGGCAGGAGAGATGAATGCGGGTAATAATTTGTTGGTGGAGGCTAGTTAGGTGATCAAGGACTTGCCAGCTGGATGCACCTGCATCCCAGTGAGTGGTGATGTTCCCACTGGGAGTCGAACCCAGCACCTATCGCTTCAAACTCTACTGAGACCAGACAGTCACCTCTTGTGTAACGGATATCAGTTCTTATTTATCGGTACTCGTAGTTCCCTGTTTTGATATGGCATCTAATTGATCGACCTCTGTCGACATATGGTCTACCACGTGAATGTTTATCATGTTATAATTTCTTGGTCGTGTCTAGAGACGCAGGAATGCGAATGGTGGAGATTAAGACTGATTATTCCGCCGTAACAGTAAAGACGATCCTGGAGTTTTAACAACAGACGTAAGAAATAATGCTAACAAGAATAAATTAAACATGGATATCACAAAAAGCAGTTATCATATTACTAACGGATAAATCACACAGAGTAACAAGCTGCTCAATGTTGAACTACGTAAGATGTCTAAAACACAGAAGGTAAGAACGAAAAGGATAGGCATGAAGGCCAGGAATACTTGATGCATCAGATAGGGAACCACAGATAATCACTAGAATGCGTACAAACGATACCACATGGAATCTCAACCATTCAGTACGCCTAAAACGAATATCTGAATTACTTCGCTAAGGCTAAAACCAAGATTTTTGGAAACAACGACTTTCTCTCCCAGTGACAACAGCACGTAACTGGCAATCGAGTAGTTCCAAATGCAGTTGAATATATACAGTTTGAAATTCTCAACCAACAAGTTGAGAAACTGATGATTTTGTGAACACGTCATAAATGAATAAAGTAGGTGCCCGCACATGGTTTCCATGGGAAACACCTTCAGGGAAGTGTGTGTTTGATGAAGAGAAGTTAGTTTGATAAAAACCATGCTACTAATTACCAGAGCTTTCGAAACCTATTCCGAACTCAACATTCTAAACTCAATAAAAGTTATAGCTTGATGTCGATAACCCAGTGATTCGAAGACATCAGACAATTCCATATATTTGACCAGTTTCATGTGCTTTGCATTCTCTCCATTGTTTGGTGATAAGGCCGAGTTAGTCACCCTGAGTCTCCGTTGCTTGATCTTAGGC